CTAGAATCCCAAAAAGCTTACAAAAAGAAGTCTCGAAAGTTGCAGAAAAAGAACATAAAAAGAAAATTAGGTCTCTGGGGTTTTTATACCCAAGTACAAAAAAAGGAAGACATAACCCGGTTTAGGAAAACCGTCTCGGGACGTCGAGGCTCGGCTCGATCGATCCCATGGGTGGATCGATCGATCCAGATATGCTGAATCAATTGGTCTTGGACGGATGATGCTGGATCGATCGATCCCCCCTGGGATCGATCGATCCCGAAGCTCCTGGAGTCAAGCTCTGCACCTGCTTCAAATGCTCGCCAGATTGACCTGTCTTCACTAATTTGGCTATCACTCTTTAATTCACCGTTAGATTTCCTTCAAACCGCTTGGAAAATCAAGCTAACATCTTCATCTAGCTTGTGTCAAAATTTCAGAAAGATCTAACGGTGGGAAGGCTTCCATCTGAGGCCAAACGTTTGATACTTCTAACCGAAACTGCATCTCCAAATGTGTGTTTATATCCCAAAACAGCTCGTTTTCCTCCGAAGCAACCTAAAACCTGTAAAGACTCGATAAAAGACTAAAAGACTCTAAAAACACACTTTGACTCTTTAAAATATATGATCTAGGAAAGAAAACAAAGACTCAAAACCGATAAAAACACAACATATCAGGTGGTTTAGATTACTTCTACGACCAAACAATAAATCTTTGAGAAATATAGCTCCAAAACAAGTTTTTTTTTTTTTCCGTCAAAACCCATTTTATTAAGTTATCGGACGGAGACTTTCCTCTAGAGAGAGCCAATCCGGAGCCGATGTGCTTACATGGGAGAATAGAGAACCTCTTGTCCTTGCTTTTTTTACAAGACAGTCGGCACGTACATTGTTACACCGCAGAATAAATTTAATATAGAAAGAAGGGAAAGAGAGCTATAAAAGCTTAAACAGTTGAAGCTCCACTGCAAACGTAGGCCAATCAGATGGATTATCTAGAATGGATATCAGTTCAGAGCAATCTGAGGCGAAGCCAAGATTTGTCTTCGAGTCTACAATGAGCCATTCCATTGCCCAAAGGACAGTTTCGAATTCAGCTTGTAGAGGGGAAAATCCCCGACGGGAGCTCTTCAACCCCATAAGAATAGGGGAAGTTCCATTCATAACAATCCACCCATGGCTACTGAGGGGATCATTTATTTTCCAAGAACCGTCGATTTGACACTCTGGTTGGGAGGATCCTAAGAGTAAGGGATCAGGAGATATCCTTAAGCCTTCATCTGGAGTAACGTCATTAGAATTTGCAGCCTTCCATACATTTGCCTCTTGAGATGCATGTTCCAGCGTGTTCTGTGGAGATTCTCGGATATTTTCAAAAATAAAGCTGTTTCTGGCATTCCATAAGTACCAAAGTATCCATGGAAAAATAAGCGCAATTTCTTCTCCATTCATCATTCCTTTCACTCTCCAGAAAAGAGAGTCCATATTAGAGAAAAGGGATTGGCTTGGAAAGGAGGACGGTAAGGATGGAATCGGTGAAAGAGCCCAAGTTTGAAGCGCCGGTGGACATTCAAAAAGGAGGTGATTAATTGTCTCCTCCTCAACACCACATCTAGGGCAATGCTTCTCCTTACCGATATGTCGGTAGAATAAAGTATGGTTTGTCGCTAGACAACCTGACAAACATTGCCACACGAAATGTTTAAGCTTTCGTATAGTTTTTAACTTCCATACTTGTGCCAGAAGGGGAGTAATCCCCGGTCCCTAAAAAGGGTGGTCACAAGTAGGACGGGATAATTCCTGCGCAGCCCAATATCCAGACTTAACAGAGTAATTGCCTGATTTTGTCCCATTCCAGCTATATCCATCACTTAAGTATGAACGACTTAGTCGGATTCCTAGAATCAGAGGTATATCTGAAAGGTCGATCAAAGCGTGAAGTCTGTCAAGTTTCCACTGTTTGGAAACAGGATCAATCAAATGGTCCACATACAGATGTGGATCTCTCTCGGTTATCATGCCTTTGGCAGGACGAGCCGGAATGTCAGGGATCCAAGGATCGAGCCAAACTCTGGTTTTCATCCCTGAACATATGGTCCTCCTTAGGCCCGAAGTAAGTAGGGGTTTTAACGCCATAATACTTCGTCATCCGTAGGAGGGTCTGTTGGATTTTTTAATCTCAAGTGGATCACTGTAGCGGTAATATCGTCCCCGGAGAACACGGCTGAGAAGGGAGTTTGGGAATTTAATTAAGCGCCATAACTGTTTTGCAAGAAGAGCAAGGTTAAATTCTTCCAGAGTTCTAAAGCCTAAACCTCCTTCTGATAGTTGGGTACAAAGTTTATCCAGGCAATCCAATGGATTCCTTTACTATCTGCTCTTATCTTCCACCAAAAATCTGGAATAGCACTGTTCAGCTTTGAACGGATGGCTTTAGGTAAAAGGAAAGACGACATGACATATGTCGGAAGGGCTTGAGCTACAGATTTTATAAGAATCTCTTTCCCACCTTTGGAAAGGAATTTTGCCGACCGAGAGTTTAGCCGACTAATGAGGCGATCTCGGACAAATGCAAAAACTTGGGTTTTTGAACCGTGGATCTTCTCAGGGAGACCCAAATAAGTTCCCATTCCTCCTTCATTAGTTATCCCAAGGGTTCGCTTTATGGTACTTCTAGTTAGATCATCTACATCTTTTCCAAACATCACCGAAGATTTTCGAAAATTTAGCAATTGTCCAGAAGCCCCGCCATATAACCGAATAATGTCTATTATAGCTTTTCCCTGGTCCTCAGTCGCTTTGCAGAAAAATAAGCTATCATCTGCAAAGAGGAGATGAGAGGTCGAAGGGCTTGCTTTCGAAACTTGAAGGCCTTGGATGTGACCATTCCATTCCGCCGATTTTAATTGGGCAATTAAAGCCTATGTGCTTAAGATGAAGAGAAAGGGAGAAATCGGATCCCCTTGTCTAATTCCTCTCTTTGGTTTAATTAAACCACGAGGAGTACCATTAAGAAGAACTTTATAAGATACAGAGGAAATGCAGAACATAATCCGATCTATCCAAGTTTGGGAGAAGCCCAATTTCTTCATTAGAGCCTGTAGGAATTGCCACTCTAGACGGTCATATGCTTTACTCATATCCGTTTTTATCGCCATAAACTTCGTTTTACATGCCGCATTAGACCGGAGAGCATGAAAATTTTCTTGGGCGATAAGAATATTATCTGTTATAAGTCGACCAACAACAAAGGCTGATTGAGTCTCGGATATAATATCCGGAAGAATTTTCTTTAGACAGGAGCTGAGTACTTTTGAGATAACTTTGTAAGCTATATTACAAAGGCTTATTGGTCTGAACTCTGTCATGGATCTCGGTCTCTCCGTCTTTGGGATCAAACATAAATTTGTCTCATTAAGGCGACTATCAAAAGTGTCGGAGACAAAAAAATCTTTAACTAGTTGGAATAGGTCCATTCCAACTATATACCAGAATCTCTGATAAAAAGCAGCCGTTAGACCATCCGGTCCTGGTGTTTTATCCGTTTTTATCGCCATAAACTTCGTTTTACATGCCGCATTAGACCGGAGAGCATGAAAATTTTCTTGGGCGATAAAAATATTATCTGTTATAAGTCGACCAACAACAAAGGCTGATTGAGTCTCGGATATAATATCCGGAAGAATTTTCTTTAGACGGGAGCTGAGTACTTTTGAGATAACTTTGTAAGCTATATTACAAAGGCTTATTGGTCTGAACTCTGTCATGGATCTCGGTCTCTCCGTCTTTGGGATCAAACATAAATTTGTCTCATTAAGGCGACTATCAAAAGTGCCGGAGACAAAAAAATCTTTAACTAGTTGGAATAGGTCCATTCCAACTATATACCAGAATCTCTGATAAAAAGCAGCTGTTAGACCATCCGGTCCTGGTGTTTTATCAGGATTTAGAGAAAAGAGAGCTCTTCAAACTTCTTCAATGGATGCCTCTTTAGTAAGCATCACATTCATTTCCTCTGTAATTATCTCGGGAACTTCCCGGAGTACCGCTGAAAACTCAGTCGGATTTGATGTGGAGAAAAGATCTTGAAAATACTCTACTGCCAACGATTCAATACTAGCTTCTTTATCAATCCAAGTCCCATGCTGATCTAGGAGCCCAATAATTCTGTTACGTGCACGACGTTGCTTCGTCGTAGCATGGAAGTACTTCGTATTTAGGTCGCCCTCTTTATACCAAGTAGCTCTACTTTTCTGTTTCCAGAAAATGTCTTTCTCTCTATAAGCCCCACATAATTGGAATTTTAAATCCAACAATTCTTCGGAAGATACACTCTCATTGTTTTGAGCCTCATCAATTTTTGATTGGAGGCTCAAGATCAATTTCTCAGAGTTTGTTACATTTGATTTCTTCCAGCAAGAGATAGTCCGTCGGCAGTTTTGAACTTTTCTGACAAAATTCCCGGAATCACTTATAGAGTTAGGAGTCCAGCCATCCTGGACTGATTCTTTAAAGCCAGGCTTTCCTACCCATCGTTTGTCAAACATGAATCGTTTAAAAAATCTCTGGGGGCTATCCTGAATAAAAGCTAACAAGGGTTTATGGTCGGAACCCCATAACTTCAAATACTCCACAACAGTGTGGGAGAAAATATTGTGCCAATCTTCATTGCCCAAAGCCCTATCTAAACAGAGTTTGACAAGACTAGTCTTTCGACCGCATTTACGGCGTCCCACCCACGAGAAAAAATTCCCTTGAAATGGGAATTCGAGAATACCACAATTTTGGATCATGGTACGAAATGGGAGAAAGGAAGACTCAGAGCGAAGTCTTCCTCCTCGTTTCTCATGGCTTCCAGTTATTTCATTAAAATCACCGATCATGAGCCATGGACCATCACGAGAGATACCAATCCTGGTTAAGCGTTCCCAGACATTTTCTCGGGATTGAACTACCGGATCACCATACACAAAGGAAATAAAAACTCGATTTCCATAAATAATTGTCTCAATATCCATAATGCGATCATTACAAGACAATAATTTAATCGGATAGTCTTTCAAAAACAACAAAGCTAGACCTCCACTGTTACCATCAGGTTCAATAGTAAGGAGGGAATCAAAACCTAAAGAAACTTGAAGATTCTGGAGATGATGTAAATCATTCTTCGTCTCCGAGAGAAAGAGGAAACCTGGAGTAAACATTCGACACATTTCTTCCAGTCGGCGAGTTGTAAGTTGCGCTCTCACCCCTTGACAGTTCCAAGCTATGATCCTCATATGTCCGACCCAGGAGGGTTCGAGGGCCCACCCGTATCGATTATTGAGGATGATGTCTTGTTCTTCACAGACGAGGGGAAAACTTCAGTACTTGGTCCCCTTCCTGAAGCTCTTGGTTGTCTTACATTTGTGCGAGTCACATGCGGGAGAGGACCTTGAGTTTTCGGAGAGAATTTTCCTTGAAGATTGAAAAGCTTCCTCGAAGCCGCACCTTGAGAATTAGCTTGTGAAGTTTGGGCCTGTGGAATAATAGCAGAGGCCTTTTTTTGTTTTTCCTTCTTTTTTCCTTTTTGTTTGGAGTGGCCCAAGCCCATTTGGTTTAAAGTTGCATCACGTTCCTTTTGCTTTTCCACGTTCCATGTATCCCTGTTTTCAAAATCATCAAATTCTTCTCCAAGAAGATCGTCATTCTCTAGAGTTTCTCCTGCTTCAAGCAGGGATTTTTCAATTTCTTGGTAGGCTGCATCATCTTCTGCCTCCCATTCAAGATCCACCCTTTCTTCTTCATCCAAATTTTCTTCCCAGTCCATGTCACCTTTCTCTAAAGCTTCCTGGTAAGATTCATCATCAATCCCATCTTCTTCCATATATTCCTCATCCTCCCAGGCTTCTTCATTCTCAATCTCCACTCCATTGTTATCAATTGCAGAATTCTCAGGGATAACCATGTTATCATCTTCAATTCTAATGGAGTTCGAGAATCGGGTTTCCAACATAGCTTTCTGCGCAAGGGCTTCTTCTTCTTCAACCGTCTGCTCATACCAGCTTTGTTCCGTAGGTTGCGAATTTTGAACCAAACAGGGGTCTACTGCTTCCCGGGACTTGCATTCCTCATCCTCCGGCGGCAAAGCATCGAAATTAAGGCTCTTTTTTGCGGAGCTGCCAGTACCAAGGGAATTCTTGGCGGGAGGAATCTCAGAAACATTCACACGATCCAAAAGACAAGTTTTAGAGCGTTTTGACAGGTTCAAGCGGAAAGGTCTCTCTTTGGTGTAATCCGGTGATAAGACTCCTTGTTTTGCCCGCAGAGAATTAGCGAGAGCGTCCGAGTTGGTCTTCTTCAAGTTCAAAGCAAGAGGTTCCTCACCAGCCTTTGATGGTACATCAAGACGCTTACTTTGTTGTTTCCCAGGAACCTTAGCTTTATCTTTTGACGAGGTTGATTTACGCGGAGGTTCCTCAAAAGAATCATCAAGGCGTCTTTTACGGCCCGAATCTTTGGAGAGACCAAGCTCATGGTTTAAAGTGGGTTTATTAATCCCTGAAAGTCTAGAAGATGTCTCCCGTTTCCGGGGAATTGGAGCAGCATTCCGGGATCCTCTCCGATCAGGTATCATAGATGTGCTCCTCGTCTCTTGGTGGTTTAAGTTTATTGCAGAAGAGTCCAAATTCTGGGATCGACGATCATCTATTCGGCGCCATACATTCTTTTGGTTTGTATTATCATTTGTTAGTCTTTTACCTTCAGCTTTTCTTCTCTGATACTCAGAATTGTTTGAGTCTTCCTGATTTTGTGATGGCTCAACAAGATCAGGTCTCCACCAAGAGGGATGAGTCCTACCATTTGAGCTTATTTGTAGGGCGAGAAATCTCTTTCCCTGAAGCTAGTTTGCCCAAGCTTGTACCAATGGTTTTCTCCTCCGGGATTGAGACATTCTGGGTCACGGGAGCTAAAGGGCATTTTTCTTGTTCATGGCAGATGCGGTGGCAGAGCTTGCACCACCTGAAGAGTTTGTCATATCGTAGAGAAACCCAAACCACCTCTCCGGTTGGAAGTTGTGTTTTTTTACGAAAGCGTAGAGGTTCATCTGCCTTAATAGTTACTTGGAATCTGGCCATAGGAGCATCAACCAATCTGACTTCTCCAAGAGCTCTTCCAAAGTTGCGAAAAATTTCCTCCATCCAAAACTGGGTGGGGATGCCTTCAGTATGAATCCAGAAAGTCATGGTATTTGGGAACACATCTCCAACATGAGGTTCCCATCTTTCCAAAGCAAAGGACCACTTATTGAAGTGGCAAGGTCTTCGTTTCAACACCTTTTGGAGATCTCTCTCCGAATCAAAATCAAACTGGAATCTTGAGTTTCCAAGAGGAATGCCACGAACACGACCCGCAACATTCCAAATATTCTCCTTGGGCAGCAGGGCTATGGCCGTCTCAACGTTCCTTCAATCTCGGTGAAACATGCGACCTACAAGGCTCAGCTTATATCTAGCTATCAAGGCTGAGTTGTCAACTTGAGGTAAAATGATTACTTCATCTTCTTCCTCCAACTGACTTCCAGTGAGCTGCCGGTTTGACATGTTTGAGCTTGACATGATGGACTACACACAAATGCAGGTAAACAACCTTAACAACCTAAAGCTCCAAATCAAGTTATGTACTGGTCTAGATTAGGTTTGTATCCGGATTTTTTTAGTTTAGCTTTTTAGTTTGGTTTAGTATAATTGAATTGAACCTTAAAGAAATTAATGTATAGACCTACTTCGGAAATAATCCAATGGACATATGTTTTTAATAAACTTAATACCCTTTAACCGAAAAGACAAAAAAAAAAACAATAAATTTCTACCTAGACAATAGTTCATACCCTTGTTTGAAAAATCGCTAGGCGCTAGTCGGGCGCTCGGCATGGGCCTAGCGATTAATCGGAAAATCGGTTTAAAATCGGGGATTAGTTTTAGGGTTATTTTAATATTTTTAAAACATATTAATCCAATATTATTTTTAAAATTGCAGTAAACACATAAAAATATATTTTGAGACAAATAATTATGATTTTTATTACAAATTTATGATTTTTATTAAAATATGAACATAAATTATTGTAAAACATTACAAACTCCCAATTCAAATGATTGAATAACAAAAATAAAAAGTTTTTTTATACTAGCAATCTAAAAATAATCGGGGTATGTAAGATTAGGCGGGGAATAATCGGATTAGGCGGGGAATAATCGGATTAGGCGGGGAATAATCGGATTAGGCGGGGAATAATCGGATTAGGCGGGGAATAATCGGATTAGGCGGGAAGTAATTGGATTAGGCGGAGAGTAATCGGGTGACTGATTTCTTTAAGGGATTAGTCATTAATCGAGGCGGATAGGGTGAGCCTAGCGATTAAGCGGAGAGTAATCGGGTCTAGGCGGAGATTTTTAGATCAGGGATTCATACAAATACATTTATTAGTGCATGGTCGGTTTATGTGTGGTAGTCTCGTTTGATATAGACGGGTAGCAGTAGACACATGACACATTGGCCGATGACCCTAGTGTGCTTTATAGAGTGGACACGAGGTTTTAATTCGGAATTGAATATTCTTCGACGCATGTGTTGGACATTAAATTATCCACTTTCGTTTTCTTGGTACCACTTTACCATCAAAGGCTTAAACCCTTTAAACAAATATTGAAGAGAAAAAAAGATAAATCCAAGAACCCAAAATCATAGTTAACTACACAGTCTAGACTATTATAATCCATCAAAATCCTTAACCATAGAAAAAGATTAAAACATGAGCTCATTTAGATAGCAGTAGCTCAAGATTATCAAATAAAAATCTCCCATGACTACTCCAACTCTTTGGATCAATCAACACCAAATAATCAAACTTGATAAATCTCCAGAGAGAAGAAAATCTGGTTAAGTAATATAATCAAAAAGAGAATGGTTAGATAAAACCAGAAACTGATGTTGGATCATAAAGCCAAATCAATCTCTATGACGACTCTGCAAAGAATCCTCCAAATCAAGATCAAGACCAACACGATTCCGAATCGATGCATTTGCGTGGCACGAAGAAGAAGAGCAAGACATTATCTTCCACTTATTCTCAAGTTCCTTAAACCTCTCAACATCAAACTTATGACTCTTAAGCAACTTCCTCTGCCTAGAAAGAAACAACCTTTTCATGAAATCTTGATACGTTGGGTCTCTAGAAGTCATCAAGAAATAAGCATAACCCACAATAATCCCAGTAGCTGTAGTGAAAAACGTTATTGGTTCCATCACATCCCAAGAAAACTCCCAAAACGTTAGCCTAACAAAGATACCAATCTGAACCACTGAGTAACCAAGACCACCCCATAGAATCTTCCTCACTTGTTGATGAGCTAACACATCAATCTCTTCCTTCATACTTCTCATCTTATCAAACTCTTCTCTAATCAAATCATCCTCTGGATTCAAACCTAAAGGCACTGCCTTTCTTATCAAATCCACCACCTACAAAAAAAACAGAGTCACATTAATAAAAACAGAGATTAGGGTTTTTTTGTTAAAGATTTCACAAGCCTACCTTATGAGGATGAAGATAGACTTTATCACGAAAAATCAAAATAACACCAGCATCATCAAGAACACGAGCAAAAGCATGAGCTTCATCAAGAGATTTAGCGATACCTAAACCTTGAGATGATTCAATAAGTGTAGTATAAGAAACCATTTCTTTATCACTCATACCAATAAGCTTCTTCTTCATATCTTCAACATTGACTAATCTCATTAACTTCTTAGCTTCCATCACAGTCATATCTTTTTTCTCATCTTCAACGTTGAGACACCTAAACCCACCAAGCAAAGACCTAACCGGAGAAGATTTATTCACGGTGGATGATATAGCCGTACGTCTCACTAATCCCATCACCGACCACATCTTTTAATCAAAAAAATCGGATTTTTATTATGACCCACGAATTTGTTTCTCCTATGGAACCAGATCTGGAGTTAAAAGATGGGTTTTTTTGAAGATGGGCTAAGAGGAAGAAACAAAAAAAGGTGTGAGATTCGATTCTGATGCACTGATTAAAAAGCTCCAATAAAAATGGTAATGTTAATTGAATAAGAGGAGGATGGAGAAGCTTAAAGTTGCTTACTTTCTGGAATTAAAAAAGTTAGGTCGCCATTGTTGACAAGTTAAAGGTCATGGCTTTTCGAAATCCCTAAATCCATTTTTTTCGTTTGTTTTGGTTCTTTCTGTTAAATACAGAGTAAAGGAGAAGTTAGAGAGGTACTTACTTAGGGCTGGCCGGCTGTGGAAGAGGAAAATTCAGAAAAGGAAAAAAAGGATTTGGTTCGGTATTAGGTAAACCGGAGAAATTGGTTGATTTTTGACTTTTTACACAAAATCGAGATTGGTTTTTGCCTTTTTCAGGGTTTATTCCTATTTGTTCTTTATGTTTGTCGTAGAGAGAGAAGAGATAAATGTAAAATTTCTAAGATTCTTTTTATTTTATTTTATATAATGTCATTTTTCCAATTTCTAGAAAAAGTAAAATTGATTTAGTTCGGTTTTAAGTAAACCGAAGAAATTGGTCGATTGTCCAATAAATCGGTTTGGGGATTTTTTATTCCTTTTTTTTTTGTCGAACAAACTAGAGAAGAGAGGAATGTAAAATTTCACAAATTTTCTTAAATACACTCGTTTTGAAAGAAATTAAAAAGACAAAAAAAATGGAAATTTGATTTGGTTTGGTTTTTAACTACACCGAAGAAATTGCTTGAAAGATTTTTTATTTTCTTACTCAAATTTGAGCTTGGGTTTTGTTTTTTTGAGGATTTATTCCTCTTTGTTACTTAAGTTATTTTATGTTTGTCGTAGAAGGAGATTTAAAAAAAAAAACTCATTTAAAAGAAATAGAAAAGTATAATTGATTTGGTTGGGTTAAAGCCAAACCGAAGAAATTGTCCATAGTCATTTTTTTTTTTTTTTTCCTTTTAAAGGATTTATCCAGTTGGTTCTTTTTTTTTGTCGTACAAAAAAGAAAAGAGAAATTTAAAATTGCTCAAATTCTCTTCTTTTTTTTTGACGTCATTTCTCAAATATCTAGAAAAGTAAAATTGGTTTGGTCGATATTTTGATAGTCAAAATTCGAGCTTGGTAAGTGACTTTTTGAGGAATTTATTCCTTTATTCTTTTATATGTTTATCGTACAAAAGGAGAAGAGAGAAATGTAAAATTTCTCGAATGTTTTAAATACACTCGTTTTCAAAGAAATAAAAAAGGCAAGTGATATATCTATTTGGAATATGCAAAAACATGGTTCGGTTTTAGAAGGACAAACTATGACGCTTGTCATATTCCTTTTTGATTGGAACATAAGTAATTTCACTGCCGACATAAAGATGTGGGGGTAAGAGATTTGGTTGTGTTCGATTCACAGCTGCTAGGAGACAAGGGAATCAGTAGCATAACAACTTAAAACTGGTTAGTCTCGATAATGTAATGCAATTACATTGCTTTTTAACAGTCAATCTCAAAAACAAAGCATACATTAAGAAAAAAACAGTGAAATGCAAGAAATGTAAAATTTATGACGACTAGAAAATTTGTTAGCTTATATTACGTTATACAAGATGAATAACTCGTGTTTAACGTGATTTCAGCTAACAAACTTTTTTCACTACAACTAAAAAAGTAAAAAACTAATCTAAACTAACTTGAGTTTCTTATTCAAGATGGGCAAAAATATCAAAAGTCAAAACCTTATCTTGCTTATAAGATTCCAAAAATGTTCAAGAAGATTTTGTAAGTATGCTTGCAAGTTGTAACTAAAATTAAGATACTAATTTATATACATGTATCATGTATGTAAGATGATAAAGAAAATGACACATGATTTAACAAGACATAGGTTTTGTTATTAAAAATCAATCCATTGGAGCATTGTTGTTTGTTGTTTGTTGCCATGCGTCACTATGTGCTCACTAAAAGGAGTGTATCGTACGTGCCCCCATGCAAAGTGATTCTTCATTTGTAGATATGCATGCAGTTTCAATCAGTGCCGGCTCAGATGGGTGGGCGGGCGGTGCGACGACCAGTGGTCCAATCCCGTAGTCCAATAATTAAGGGGCCCATTTTCTAAAATATTTTTTTAAAAATATTAAAAAATTAGATTATAAAATAAAAATAAAATTTAGAAAGGTCTATAAAATTTTTTATTTATTGTTTTTAGTATTAGTAATTAATATTTTTAACAAAAATAGCATAGAAAAAAACATTAAAAAAAAATTTCTAAGAGTCCAAAATTTTTTTTTGCCCTAGGGCCCATAAAAATGTTGAGCCGGCACTGGTTTCAATATATAATGGTTGTGACTGAGGAGAGGGAGAAATCCTACTAATTAAAGACTAAATCAACACACAGTGAAAGAGTGGGTACCTTATAGGTATTTATGGAGGTCAAGTTGATTCAAGTGTCTTAAGAGGCCCACACAATTGTGGTAAGAGAGAATTGAGGAAATGTTGGAAAGAACTAACCCAAGTTCGATCCACCCTAAAAACAAAAATCACATATGTGTGAGAAGTCTGGGTTAAAGGTTCAAACAGTTTATCTGGTAGTCAGTAACAGGCGATCTGGCTACCCCTGAAATTAGTTGGAAAGCATTCCAAACTCGGGACAGACAGTGTGGTAGCCCTTCGAGGAGAAGTCCACTCTGAAGCACTTTGGTGCGTTTCTACCGGGGCTGCCCGGATCAGCCGATAGGGTTTATAAAAAAAAAAATTGCCTTAAGAGAGGAATGACGTTGACGAAAAGTTTCAAAAACCGGCGATATTACTCACAAACTTCGTTTGTCCAACATAAGAGGTGATGGTCTTAGTTCATTAAATCAAGTATGATTGTTCCAGAGATTTTTTATTATTTCACTGATGTTTTTTTTTTGGTATGAAGAGGGAGGCTTTGAGGGAGACAAAATCTCCCCTACTTTATTAATTAAAATGAAAACAACTACAACCGAACAAGTCTAGGGTGTGTAAACCTTGTTAACATCATCTAACAAAAATGAATGAACATCTTCTAGAATCGAAGAAAACGAATGAAAACATATCGGTAAAGAAAATACATAGTTAGCCAATCCATCCGCCAGACGATTGATCTCCCTATACACATGCGAAACTCCGACTATCCAGTTCCTTGATAGAAAGTCATAGCACAATCGTACTAGGAAGGACAACAGGAGAGAATTAGTAATCTCTGATGTCAAGATACCCACAACTATTTCAGAATCTACTTCCAACTCAAAACGAGTCACACGACGTTCCCATGCAATATATAATCCTTAATAAACTGCATAGTTCCACCAATGGTGCCGAGCAAAACCCAATATTTAGAGAGAATCCAAAACACCAATTACCCTCACCATCTCTCAAGACTCCGCCAGCGGTTGCCATCCCAGGATTACCATGTAAGGCACCTGACAAATTAAACTCCCGTGGTACTCAAATGGTGTCATTCCCTCCTTTACAAACCTGACAAACTCCCATGGTACTCAAATGTCTTCTCAGCCTTTCCATGTTGGTCATAATCACTTGATTCACTACTAGCCAAAGGAACACTCTGACCCTCTCCGGTGCGGTAACTTGCCATACACAATCAAAGATTTTTTGTAAAGTTGGTCGCGGTGAACTGTCTCTTGTTAGAAGTGTATACGCAGACTTCACTGAAAACCTCCCCTCTTTACTTTTCCCCCAATATTTGATCGATGTTTACACACTATCACAACAAGTATTTCTCTACGGGATTTCCAATAAAATTCTATTCTTCTTTTAAAAAAATCTTCATTTCTACAATTTAATTTGATACTTTTGGAGATTTGGTGGAGCATTAGCCATGTTTACAACTTTTGTGCTACTTTAGATGTTGCCAAGGTGTAGATGACTCCAATACTTCATTTCACAACAACAAAACCATACTAAAAATCCCTAACTAAATTAGTAATTTCCCTAATACAATTATGGCCAAATTACACTACTTTCAAGTATGAAATTATCAAAATTAGTAAATTATGCAACTTTTTGATTCTGAATTAACCATTGTCAGCTCTTCTTAATTTGGTACTATCATTTACATTTATTGTTAAACCGGTTTAAGATCCAAAAGAAAAAAGATAAATCTCGTTTGGTGAAAAAATAACCAGAAAACGAGATCTGACTTCTAACTTGTACATGTACATCGATGTCCACAAAATACAAATCGGAAAAAAAAGCATCGATGAAGAAGAAGATGATTCCGACGACGCTCTTACTCTCAGCTCTCATTTTCTCTTTATCGCCGATCTGTGAAGCTGTGTGGCTTACCGTACCTCACACCGGATCAAAGTGTGTCTCCGAAGAAATCCAAAGCAACGTCGTCGTTTTAGCTGATTATCTCGTTATCTCCGAGGAACATTCTATCTTCCCTACTGTCTCCGTTAAGGTAAATCATTTTATCAATCGAAGAATTTGCATTTGATTTGGAACCTGGAACTCTCATTAGTTTCTAAAAATGGTCTTAGAGGCATTAAATTGAATCGATGCTTAGTTCTAGTTTCCTTATTTGTTCATGATGTGAATTCAATTGGTTAGGTTACTTCAAGATCTTTCATGTAGTGAAACTAAATCAATCGCAAAGTTTCTTCAGTTCTGGATCTTAAGAGTTTAGGTTTAGTTGAATGAGAAGAGAAGATGAGGTTTTTCTAGTAATGGCCTGTGAGCATTTTACATGAAACATTTTTTGTATAATGCAACAATGTCAATAGCTTGGTCTGTTGAGGAAGTTTGATCAAAGAGGAAAAATGTTTGGAAGAGAAAAATATTTGCTTGCAAAGATGTTATCTTGTTGACTTTACAATGGTTATACCACATAGTTTGATAGATTGTTGTAGAAAGTTTACTCGAATATGTTTTACGTTAACATATTTCTAGTAGTGACCATATGTTTGTGAGCGTTTTACGTCAGCATATGTTTGTGAGCGTTTATGAGCGTTTTACAGTAACATATATCTAGTAGATACGACCTCGAGTTCTCTATTTGCTTGCAAAGATGTATCTTGTTGAACTTTTTATGACAATGGTTATATCTCATCTAAATCTCAATCTTCTATGCTTTATTGTTAGATGGTAGATATTGATTGTCCCAACTACTGCATAGTTTGATAGATTGTTGTCGAAAGTTTTTACTCGAATGTGTTTTACGTTAACATATGTCTAGTAGTGACCATATGTTTGTCAGCGTTTTATGTCAGCATATTTCTCGACTCAATAGCTTTGTCTGTTAAGGAAGTGTGAAAAAGAGTAAATATGTTTGGAACAGATGATTACTTACGACCTCAAGTTCTCTATTTTCTTGCTAAGATGCTTGATATTGTTCTGTTTACAAGTTCTCTATTCTCTCATGCTTTTTTAGTTAGATGGTAGCCGTTGATTCTCCCAGCTACCACATAGCTTTGATAGATTGTTGTAGAAAATTTAATTACATGTGTTATGAAGACGTGCACCAACTTCTCGACGTGGAAAATGACTAGAAGTTTTTATGTTTTATTGCAGGTCACAGCACCTTATGGTAGCGTTTTACACCACAAGGAAAATACAACAAACGGTCAGTTTGCATTTACAACCCAAGAATCAGGAACTTACTTGGCGTGTTTTGAGGCTGATGCTAAAAGTCATGGTAACAGAGATTTTAGCATCAACATCGACTGGAAAACTGGTATCGCAGCTAAAGATTGGGACTCCATTGCTAGAAAAGAGAAGATCGAGGTCAGCTCTCCATATTTCCAAGCCTCTGAGACAATCAAATTACTTACAAAACCACATCTTAGAGTAGGTTAGTCTCTATCTGACTCCCGATAATATCTTCAATCGTGTAGGGTGTAGAGCTAGAGCTTAAGAAACTTGAAGGTGCAGTAGAAGCCATACATGAAAATTTAATTTACCTCAGAAACAGGTAAAAAGCTTAATTAACTGCTACATTTTTTGAAGATATTGAGAAGAAATACAAATACACATTCTCTTGTTTTCACAATTGCAGAGAAGCTGAAATGAGGATTGTGAGTGAAAAAACAAACTCGAGAGTCGCATGGTACAGTATAATGTCGCTGGGGATTTGCATTGTGGTCTCTGGTTTACAGATTTTGTACTTGAAGCAATACTTTGAAAAGAAGAAGCTTATTTAGATCAATGAGGATTGTTGAGGAATACAAGAACCAACACTTTGCTCTGTTTTCTTTCTCTGATGCTCTCTTTGGAACTGTTAGTGTAAAATTTTGTTCACTGATTTATCTTGTAATTTGACTCCTTTTCCATAGAATATATAAGTAGACTCTAATTATAGGAATCTGAACTATATTTCCCTTGATAAAATAAAACTGAATTTATTTGGCATAACTTCTGAAGTAAGGGTGGGCAAAATAAACAGAGGACTCTGTGTGAAACAGAGTTACCAAAAACTTCTGAAGTAATCAACACATTGCGTTTTTATTTGGACTATACAAAGCCCTTTTCATTGAAATTGTTGAATCTTTGTATTGGATTTTCTATAACACGGCCGGAACGTATGTCCTCATTACAAAACATGTCTGATGCATTACGTCGTCGGTGCATGATTGAACATAGACTAGTCTATGGAGCCTTTTTGCTATGACTAAGTCCTAACATTGTACTTATTGCTTGGAAACTGCTATATGTGAAATTGTGAATTCAGATTTTGATGGAGACTTTCATTTACTTCGTTGAAAGTACTTGTGCTTTTCATTGCTATTTCCTTCTTAGAACTATAGTAACACAACCATTTCGTGAGTTATTACTTCTTCTTTAGGTGAGAGACTTGAAAGAGACGGTAGGGTATAAGTCTTCTTCTATGAACCAATTAAATTTCTGAGAGGAAATTTCAGAGAAATTCTAAGAATGGTGGAACCTACAAGACAGCTAAGACTGTGAAAACATAAAAACTTTATTTCCAAAAAGCTTAATATCTCTCTTATCCAACAATTGTGTGAACCTTCTGAGTCAATGGAGTCAATGTTCTATGTCATTACACATACAAAGTCTATTTGTTAGTCCTTACTTTCACATAGCTCTATTATTAGATCTCTGATCTTAAATCTTCTCTCTATCGTAGTAATGGCTTCTTCTTCTTCTTTATCGCTTTCATTTCCTTCTTCTTCTTTGTCTCAAACCTGGGAACACGATGTCTTTCCGAGCTTCCACGGGAAGGATGTACGCAAAGCCTTTCTCAGCCACATTCTCAAGGAGTTTGGAAGAAAAGCAATCAACTTTTTTGTTGATAACGAGATCAAGAGAGGAGAATTCATCGGTCCTGAACTCAAACGGGCGATCAAAGGATCTAAGATTGCTCTTGTCTTGCTCTCCAAGAATTACGCTTCTTCGTCATGGTGTCTTGACGAATTGGCGGAGATAATGAAGCAAGAGTCTGGTCAAACGGTGATTACCATTTTCTATGAAGTAGATCCAACGGATGTGAAGAAGCAGAAGGGAGACTTTGGGAAGGTCTTCAAAAAAACATGTAAAGGTAAAGACAAGGAGAAGATTAAGACTTGGAGGAAAGCTTTGGAGGATGTGGCCACAATCGCAGGTTACCATTCAAGCAACTGGTTCGTGTTCTTGATTTAACTTCACTTGCTTTTAATATTTCTAACTCATCAAACTATGTAGCATACGAAACTGTATGTATACAAGAGATTCATAACTTTTGAACGTGTATGTTAGTTCTTAGTGATTATTTATTAACAAGATGTATGTATGAATTGTTCTTCGTCTTTGTTAGGGTTGATGAAGCAGCCATGATTGAAAACATCGCTGCTGAAATTTCGAACAAGCTTAATCATTTGACACCATTACGTGATTTTGACTGTTTAATTGGGATGGAAGCTCATATGAAAAGGATGGAACAGTATTTACGTCTAGACTTGGATGAAGTGAGGATGATTGGGATTTGGGGTCCGCCTGGGATTGGGAAGACCACAATTGCCAGGTTTCTGTTTAACCAAGTTTCCAGCCGTTTCCAGAATAGCGCACTCATTGAGGATATCAAAGGAAGCTATCCGAAACCTTGTTTTGATGAGTACAACGCAAAGTTGCAACTACAATATAAAATGTTGTCTCGGATGATCAACCAGAAAGATATCATGATCCCTCATTTAGGAGTCGCACAAGAACGATTGAGAAATAGGAACGTGTTTCTCGTTCTTGATGATGTGGATCGGTTAGCACAACTAGAAGCCTTGGCCAACAATGTTCAGTGGTTTGGTCCTAGAAGTCGGATTATCATCACAACAGAAGATCGAAGTCTTTTGAACGCACATGGGATCAACCATATATACAAGGTTGGTTTTCCATCAAATGATGAGGCTCTTCAAATGTTCTGCATGTATGCTTTTGGTCAAAAGTCCCCTAAAGACGGTTTTTATGAACTTGCGCGTGAAATTACATACCTTGTCGGTGAACTTCCTTTAGGACTAAGGGTTATTGGATCCCACTTTCGTGGATTGTCCAAGGAGCAGTGGTCAATGGAAATATCAAGGTTAAGGACTAACCTTGATGGAGATATTGAGAGCATTTTGAAGTTCAGTTTTGATGCTTTATGTGATGAAGATAAAGATTTATTCCTTCATATAGCTTGCTTTTTCAACAACGAAAATATAAACAAATTAGAAGAATTTATTGGCCAAAGATTCAAGGATTTGAGTCAAAGGCTTTACGTTTTAGTGGAGAAATCTCTCATATCTATTGAAAGATTTCTTGAATATGTGAGTATAAAAATGCACAATTTGCTGGCCCAACTAGGTAAAGAAATCGTCCGTAAAGAATCTCGTGAGCCTGGGCAACGCCGATTTTTGTTTGATAATAAAGATATTTGTGAAGTAGTCTCTGGTTATACAACTGTAAGTTTTTCCATTATTCTTTCATTGCAGTGCTCACCATAACTTGAGTTTATTTTATCATCTCTACTTATCTTTGGGTCTTTTTTCTCAGAATACTGGAAGTGTTGTAGGCATAGACTCCGATTCTTGGTTAAATATAACTGAGAAAGCCTTTGAAGGAATGCCTAATCTCCAGTTCTTAAGAGTCGTCGTATACAATTTTGATCATCCAAACATTATATCTTCTTCGGGACCTCTGACTTTTATATCTTCGAAGCTACGATTAATAGAGTGGTGGTATTTTCCGATGACATCTTTGCGTTTTATTAATAATCTGGAATTCCTTGTCGAATTAAAAATGCGTTACAGCAAACTTGAGAAGCTGTGGGACGGAATCAAAGTAAGTCATTTAAATTTTAGTTTTGTATGTAGAATATCCTCTCTTGTACATTAAATTAACTTGAAAAATTATATTTTACTTGCCACTTCGTTTCTAGCATGAAAATATATATATATTTTAAAATTTTATGTGTTCCAATTGCTAAGTGTAATGTGTTCCAATTTTATGTGTTAAATTTTTATGTATAATTGTGTATATTTTGTCTCCATCTTTCTTTACAGCTGCTTAAGAATCTCAAGCGTATGGATTTGTCATATTCCAGAAACCTGAAGGAGCTTCCTAATCTTTCAATGGCCACTAGTCTTGAGAAGTTAAAACTTAGTGGATGTTCAAGTCTGGTGGAGCTCCCTTCTTCTATTGGGAATTCAACTAATCTCTCCACATTCAAACTTGATGGATTTAGTCTAGTGGAGCTCCCTTCTTATGTTGGTAATTTAACTAATCTCCAGGAATTATCACTTAGTGGATGCTCAAGGCTTGTATCACTCCCACAGCTTCCAGATTCCTTATTGCGCCTAAATGCAAACAATTGTGAGTCCCTAGAGAAACTAGACTGCTCCTTTTGCAATCCATATATTTGGCTTCACTTCGCTAACTGCTTCAAACTAAATCAAGAAGCAAGAGATCTCCTCACCGAGACATCAAATGTTAAATTGTAAAGAAGTGCCTGCGTGCTTCACTTACAGAGGTTATGGGAATTCCGTAACAGTGAAGTTGAATCAAAAGCCTCTTCCTACATCAACCAAATTTAAGGCTTGCATCTTATTTGGTAACAATGGCGAAAATGACGTTAGTTATATTTATTGGGACACAACATGTGTGTATACGAAGAAGAATAAGGGTTGCATCTTGTTGGATAATAAGGGAGAACATGAGGAACGAGGGTCGGTGTCTTGTCGCATCAGACACAAACCGAATGGTTTCTTAAATTACTATCCAGTTATAACGGAGCATCTATACATTTTCGAAGTTGAAGTAGAGGAGGTGACTTCCACAGAGCTTTTTTTTTATTTCGAGATCTTCAAAGAGGATTCCAGGACTATGGAGATAAAAGAATGTGGGATAATCCACATCTTGGAACATCATGTTGATGGCGACGAAAAGATGGCGATGAAGATGGAGACAATGTAGATCTGAGACAAACATTGAAACTCAAGTCAAACAGAGAAGCCACAAGACAAAATTGCAAGGACGAATGGTAAGTTTGCATTTTCACAACTCAAGAACTTACTTTGTTGATAAACTTTGCATAACAACTGTTCAATGAAATGTCTAAGTGAGCTTTTTAAGTTTAAAGTGACAATAGCTAGAACTGCAATCTCCAAAATGATTTTTGAATTCAATCGTGTAGGGTTTAGAGCTGGAGCTTAAGAAACTCTTGAAGGTGAAGTTGAAGACGTCCATGAAGATCTATTTAAGAAACAGGTACAAAACTTATACATTCTTTTGATTTATGTGTTTTGTTTGTCTTCTCAATTCATGACAATACAAATATAAATTGTTTGTGATATTTTAGATGTTCAGTAAATTTCTTTTGGATCTGATTAATTTTTGCTCTAGGCACAAGTAAAGTCGTTTCAATATGCATTTGTCAAGTTAATTGTGTCTTTTACGGTATGGCTTGACCCACATGTTCCTCTCTGTTTCTCATTTGAATAATCAGTTTTTCCTGATTGGTATTCACTACTGTTATTTCATATACTGCTTGAAAAATTCTCAAATTCTTTGAACTTGTGTTTAGTGCTCTAGTTGCTCTCTGTTAATTCAGATTTGGATAATTAGTTGTCCTGTTTCAGTATTACTTAACTGTATTCCTTAAATTGGTTAGATATAGTTTTGCTGAATGTATAACGATTGCTAGTACCTTCGTGAAATGGTTTTGAATCTGTTTGTGTAATGTCAAAGCCAGAAGCCGAGAACGTAGCAAAAGTTAAGATGGTTAAGAGTCTTTTAGGTATGTTGTGTGCCTTCAGCTTCTCGTTTATGTCTCAGAATGCCTTCATGCTAATGAGATGACTTTATTTTGTAGGTGAACTATTACAGTTGGCCTCTTGAAATTCTATTATCATTTATACATTTTCGACATTGAAGCAGAGGAGGTGACTTGCACCGAGCTTGTTTTTACGTTCGAGGACAGAAATTCCACATACCTGAAAGCTTGGGAGATAAAAGAATGTGGGATACTTTTAACTTCGGAGCGTCATATTGATGACTTATGAGAGCTTGGGAGAACCACACACCCTTAGCCCACGCGCAGGCTGGTTTTGTCACTCTGATGTGTTTCCAAGTCTCACCAGTAGAGAAGTTTTTCTTAAAACCTGACGTCCGCTACATTTCGTCTGCTTCTCGATTTTGCCTCTTCTATCCCAGCTTCAATTCTGGTCAATAAATCCACACGGTGTCTCCTACTACGTCGAGTCAGAAACACGTCTTCCATAGTCATAGTCTTAGTAAATCCCAGATCAATGCATCCTCTGTCGCCCAAAACGTCGAAAAGAGGTCCCACGGAGGACTTGTGATCATACCAAAAAGAAGTGTTCTTACCACTTTGAATTTCCATCTTGTGGAAACTTTTTGCTATCTCTTTCAGTTTGAATAACAAAAAGAACCTTGGTAAGAAGATTCTTTGACTGCCCAAAACGAGTTTTGCCAGAGGAGATAAGTCTGAATCCATTGTCTTTTAGAGAGTGTTTTGTGGATTCAGCTTCTCGTTTATGACGTCTATATGACTAAGAACTGTTACAATTGTTTGTCAAACATGTGAAGGTGAAGTTGAAGATCTAATTTACCTACTTAAGAAATACTTAATACATTCTTTTGATTTATGTGTTTTGTTTGTCTTCTCCATTCATGGGCCATGGCAACATATAAAATATGTTTGTGATATTAAGATGTTGGTTAAAAATTCTTTTGATTTATGTGTTTTGTTTGTGATAAACACATATAAAAAATGTTTTTGATATTTAGATGTTCGTTAATAATTCTTTTGGACAAATATGCATTTGCCAAGTGAATTGTGTCTTTTACGATATGGCAGAAGAGAAATCACACAACTATATGTCAACTTTAACAAAATGGAGATTTAGACAAAGCTCTTCTCTTATTACATGAACATGGCACATTACACTAGATATCACATCCACACAAGCTTTATAAGACGAAAAAGGACTAATTTTTTTTAATAACGCCAACCAAAACTTGATTCAAGCAAGAAGTCCAAAAAAATTCCATTTTCCTGAATAAAAAATAATAATTTAGATGGAATGTGATAAAGACTGAAATCAATAAAAAGAAAGACAAATACCTTGCGCATTAGTAGCAGGAGGACTAGCAGGAGACACTGCAACCAAAACAAAACAAAACAAAAATCTCTATTAATCAGATAATCATATAACTACAAAAGGAATTAAATCATAATCCATAAAAAATCAAGAAGAAATCTAACATGCACCACAAGCTGCCACCGGAGGAGCATAAACTTTACAAGCATCGGGAAGAGTAGTAGCCTTAGTAACGTTAAGTTTGATTCCGTAAGAGGCAGTGTTCTTCAACCCTTCGCATCAGTGCCGGCCCGGTAAATTTGGGTGCCCTAAGCAAAATTAAAGCCATAAAAAAAAAATTCTTTTAAATTAGATTTTTACCATTAAAAAAAATGTTGTAGTTGTCTCTAAAAGCCAACAATATTTTTAAAAGGCCCTACAAAAATTATTGTATATAAGGAAAACTTAACAAGTTTTTAGGTAAAAAGGCCCTCAAATTTTGAGGCCCTAATCGGTGGCTTCGGTGGCTTGCCCTCTGCGCCGGCCCTTCTTCGTATAGACATTCCGGTTCCGTATCGAGGATATTCTTGAGACTGGAGCAGCACGAATTTGAGGGTGTATCCATCGTACTCCCGATCGTTATAAATGATAAACATGGGAACAGGGGAACAACAAGGGTACACCCGGAGGCTGGTATAATGTTTCCATGAACATAAGGAGAGGAAACAGAGAGGACTAGGAGGAGAAGAGATGTTGCTGCGGAGAAGAAAGCCATTGTTTTGGTTCTCTGTTTTGGTTACTGCTTAAGAATCTAGAGAGAAGAAAATGAGAATTGTGGTAGAGAATGAGTGAAATGTGCTGTGTTTAAATATGGGTTTGAGTGATAAAGACGACGTCGTTTTGGTGTACACGTCATGTGTAACTTGTAATTTTTTGGTTCTTTTAGTGTAAGATTCTGCTCATTTTTATTTGGATTTTATCCTATATTAAGAGCTTTTTATCATTGAAATTAAAGTTGTTACCAAAATGATTAGATTTGTTAGAAGAATACAGAAGAAAAAAAAAAAGTAGAAAAATAAAAATGTAATTTCTAAAAACGTTGGTGAAAAAAATAAAAAAAAATTTCTTAAAACGCTTTTCTAAGTAGAAGGATTTGTATTCATACTTTGCTTTGCTGTATGTATTTCTTAGATTTTGTTTTTTTTCTGCTGTAACCTTCTGTCAAAATCTATAAATGGTATAAAACTTAACATTCATACCAAAAAACAAAAGTTTATATGCTAAGATATTTATTTTTTTTATGTTAAAGTTGCTAAGATTTTCTTTTTAACTGTCTTGGTTTATATGTCTTGGTTCTGAGTCTTTTCGAGAGTGTTGTGTGGATTCAGCTTCTCGTTTATGTCGTCTGTATGACTAAGAACTGTTACAATTGTTTGTCAAACATGTAATAAACTTGAAGGTGAAGTTGAAGATCTAATATACCTACTTAAGAAACAGGTACAAGACTTATACATTCCTTTGATTTATGTGGTTTGTTTGTCTTCTCCATTCATGGCAACACATATACAAAATGTTTGTGATATTTGCCAAGTGAATTGTGTCTTTTACGATATGGCAGAAGAGAAATCACACAACTATATATCAAATTTAACAAAATGGAGATTTTGACAAAGCTCTTCTCATATTACATGACCATGGCACATTACACTAGAGATCACATCCACACAAGCTTTATAAGACGAAAAGGGACTAAATATTTGTTATAACGCAGACCAAAACTTGATTCAAGCAAGAAGTCCAAAAAAATTCCATTTCCCTGAACATAAAATAATAATTTAGATGGCAGGATTAAACATTATAATAAGTTATCAAGAATGAAATGTGACTAAGAATGAAATCAATAAAAAGAAAGACAAATACCTGGCGCATTAGCAGCAGGAGGACTAGCAGGAGACACTGCAACCGAAACAAAACAAAGTTTCTATTAATCAGATAATCATATAACTACAGAAGAAATTAAACCATAATCTGATTTATCGTAAGGATCATAATCCATAAAAATCAAGAAGAAATACAGAGAGATGAAGGAGAAATCTAACATGCACCACAAGCTGACGCCGGAGGAGCATTAACTTTACAAGCAACGGGAAGAGTAGTAGCCTTAGTAACATTAAGTTTTATTCCGTAAGAGGCACTGTTCTTCAACCCTTCGCATAGACATTCCGGTTTCGTATCGAGAATATTCTTGAGACTGGAGCAGCACGAACTTGAGGGTGTATCCACCGTACTCCCGATCGTTATAAAAGATAAACATGGTAACAGGGTAACAACAAGGGTGGTGCACTCGTCGGCTGGTACAATGTTTCCATGAACATAAGGAGAGGAAACAGAGAGGACGAGGAGGAGAAGAGATGTCGCAGCGGAGAAGAAAGCCATTGTTTTGATTCTCTGTTTTGGTTACTGCTTAAGAATCTAGAGAGAAGAAAATGAGAATTGTGATAGAATGAGTGAAATGTGTTGTGTTTAAATATGGGTTTAAGTGATAGAGACGACGTCGTTTTTATGTACACGTCATGTGTTAACACGTCATTTTTTGGTTCTTTCTGTGTAAGATTCTGCTCATTTTTATTTGGATTTTATCCTATATAAAGAGCTTTTTATCATCGAAATTAACGTTATTACCAAAATGTTTAGATTTTAAAGAAGAAAAAAAAAAAAAAACAGAAAAATAAAAATGTAATTTCTTAAAACGCTTTTCTTAAAGTAGAAAGATTTGTATTCAAACTTTGCTTTACTGTATATACTACTTAGATTTTGTTTTTTTCTGCTGTAATCTTCTGTCAAAATCTATAAATGGTATAAAACTTAACATTTATACCAAAAAAACAAAAGTTTATATGCTAAGATTTTCTTTTTAACTAACTTGGTTTATATGTTTAAAGACTAATTAATTAAATATAGTAAACAAGTTTTATCATTTTGCATACAATTATTCAGTGGGTCAGTTTCTCATTGTATTTAAGATAAGAGATTGGTTCGGTTTGCACAAAAAAATGGAGATTGGTTCAAACTTCAAATGTTGAAACCTGCGTGTTGTTGTTATTGAATTTAAAAAATTAAAAAACTTTTTTTTTTCTTTCTCAATGTCAAAACTATGAGTTCTTTCGCATAAAGAATGAAAACAAAATTAATGTAACAAAAATAGTTAAAGAATATCACATATTTTCGATATCTTTCAAGATTTGAATAATTAGTTTTTCCAGATTTAGTATTACTTAATTCTAGTCCTGAAATGTAGTTTTACTGAATGTATAACGATTGCGCTTAACTTTGTGAAACGGGTTTGAATATGTTTTAATAATTAATGCAAAGCGAGAACATAGCAAAAAGTTAGAATGGTTATGAGTCTTTTAGAGTATGTTGTGTGGCTTCAGCTTCTCGTTTATGTTCTCGTATGACCGAGGTCTGAGGACATGCTATTTTATTTTATATGAAATGACTTCTTTTTTTTGATGAACTATTACAATTGGCCTCTTGAAATTCAATTAGTGTCATGTTAAAAAAAAAGTAAAATCTAAATGGGACTAAAAAAACAACTATTGAATAAGGGGTACTGGGTGGCAAGGGACCTAAACATTACAACAAGTGCAACTGTTTGGAGTAGTGTTTGACATAAGAGTAGAAGGGGTTTACAAGTTATCTCCTAGTAGAAAGCCAAAAGAAGAATAAATCACCATATTTTGCATTCCCGGAAGATGGGAATGTTCGTGTTGATGTTTTTCCAAGGCTTGATGTTGTTTGAGGTTCTTTACCATGTCTTTTGTTATTTCTCTCCCTCCATATGGTATGGACTGCAATTTGAAACGTTTATCGCAGAAGTAAAAGAGCCTTCTTTTTGGTTGTCTCATATGTTATGAGCAAAATGATTTGATCCCAATCCAGAAGTATCTACAGGTGTGACTATCTTGAAGTATCCCTTTTACTAACTCCTCCCATATTTGTCTTGTATACGGGCATTGAAAGAAGAGGTGGTGTCTTGTCTCAACCGGTTCCTGACAAAACGCACAAGATGTATTCACTTGGGTCTTCCACTTCACCACTCGTTCACCTGTAGATAATTTGTCATGCTTTGCAAGCCATGTAATAAAAGCGTATTTAAGCGTAGCTTCAGATTGTTCGAGTTTTTCAGGTCTTGATTTAAGAAATGATCAAAATTATAACAAAATTCAGATTTAATTGGATTTGGTTTAAGTTTGGATGAAAATTTAGTTAAATAATGATTAATTATATGTAATTCATATTATATTTTAATATATGTTAATTTTATATATGAAAACTGAAATATTAACTGAAATATTTCGATGTGGAAATTTATGTACTTTTCATAGTATTATAAAATTTGGTTTGGTTTCACCTTAGTAAATTTTTGTGATCGAACCAAATAAACATGTATTAATATATATTCATATTCGGTTCGGTATAATAATTTATAGATCACTAGTAACAAAATTGGTTTGGTTTCACGTTGATGAATTTTTGTAACACAACCAAATAAAACTTCATTAATTAACCTTTTTACATCATGACTAAAAAAATTTCAATTTATTTATAAATTCTAAACTAGAATTTCAGAAGAAAATATATTAAATTTCAATTTTTCATTGTGGTTTCTTTCATAGAATTAGAGTGTCATATGTCGTAACCAATTGCTGAGTTATTTATTGGGTTCTGCAAAAAAAAAAATAACTCTCCACCTCAAAAATACAGATAAATCATACGAAGTAAGAAAAAAAACATAATATAAACTTTATATGTATATTGTATATGTTTTCACAATCACATACAATATATATTTTTTAGTTATAAATGTTGAGTTAAACTTCTCGTCGCGAAGGCTTCGATTTAACATATTAATCATCAAAATTTTACAAACTTGAGAGTAGCGGAAAAATGTTATATTGCGTATTATATTTAACTTCGTAGGATTAATTTGCATTTTTGTAGGTGAAGATAAATTTGCAAAAAGTGGCTAGTTTGAAGATTTTTATTACGGAGACGGTAAGGTATGAAAGTCAGTTGTTGCAAATAAAATGACCAATTAAATTTCTGAAAGGAAATATCAAGAAATTTGAGAGTATAAATTAGATGGAGAGAGAGAGAGATAGCAAATTTAGGAATGTGAAACAAAGTCAACTGTTAATGAGGGATGTTTCCTCATTAACAAAACCTTTTGGGAATAACTCTTACTTAGTCTAAGCTATATTTTAAATTTTATGAGCAATTGTGTTTTGTTTTGAGCTGTCATGCTCTGTTTTCTGTTTTTGAATCTTTCCTTTGATTTTTAATGTAGTTTACGAAAAATTCGTACAGAACCGCTTCATATCACATATGTAAACAACATTTTTCATGAATGGCTTTTTTGAGCTCTAATTAATTTCGGATGACAAAAAAAAAAAAAATGTAGTTTCAAAGCCCCCAGCGAAACACTATGGAAAATCTCCAAACGTTACTTCCTTTGTCAACTCTTGATTTTGCGTATAAGAAAAAGTCATGAGATTAATAAGCCAATCAATCGGATATTTTGGAATTTTTTTTCCTTTGTAGTAAGGTGAAATAATTGGTCGGTTGCATTTTCTTATTCAAACTAAATTTCTCGGAGGAAATATCAAGGAAATTCTAAAGATATTGTATGTCAACGTTCTAGGCCTATATACATTCAAGTTTTAATCCTTACCCCCCATTTAACTCTGTTAAAGATATTGTATGTCAACGTTCTAGGCCTATATACATTCAAGCTTTTTCCTCTTCTTATTCTTCTGCTCCTTCGATTCCTTCATCTTCTTCGTCTCAAAACTGGGAGTACGATGTCTTTCCCAGCTTCCACGGGAAAGATGTACGCAAAGCCTTTCTCAGCCACGTTCTAAAGGAGTTTGGAAGAAAAGCAATCAACTTTTTTGTTGATAACGAGATCAAGAGAGGAGAATTCATCGGTCCTGAACTCAAACGTGCGATCAAAGGATCTAAGATTGCTCTTGTCTTGCTCTCCAAGAATTACGCTTCTTCGTCATGGTGTCTTGACGAATTGGCGGAGATAATGAAGCAAGAGTCTGGTCAAACGGTGATTACCATTTTCTATGAAGTAGATCCAACGGATGTGAAGAAGCAGAAGGGAGACTTTGGGAAGGTCTTCAAAAAAACTTGTAAAGGTAAAGACAAGGAGAAGATTAAGACTTGGAGGAAAGCTTTGGAGGATGTGGCCACAATCGCAGGTTACCATTCAAGCAACTGGTTCGTGTTCTTGATTTAGCTTTTAATATTTCTAACTCATCATACTATGTAGCATACGAAACTGTATGTATACAAGAGATTCATAACTTTTGAACGTGTATGTTAGTTCTTAGTGATTATTTATTAACAAGATGTATGTATGAATTGTTCTTCGTCTTTGTTAGGGTTGATGAAGCAGCCATGATTGAAAACATCGCTGCTGAAATTTCGAACAAGCTTAATCATTTGACACCATTACGTGATTTTGACTGTTTAATTGGGATGGAAGCTCATATGAAAAGGATGGAACAGTATTTACGTCTAGACTTGGATGAAGTGAGGATGATTGGGATTTGGGGTCCGCCTGGGATTGGGAAGACCACAATTGCCAGGTTTCTGTTTAACCAAGTTTCCAGCCGTTTCCAGAATAGCGCACTCATTGAGGACATCAAAGGAAGCTATCCGAAACCTTGTTTTGATGAGTACAACGCAAAGTTGCAACTACAATATAAAATGTTGTCTCGGATGATCAACCAGAAAGATATCATGATCCCTCATTTAGGAGTCGCACAAGAACGATTGAGAAATAGGAACGTGTTTCTCGTTCTTGATGATGTGGATCGGTTAGCACAACTAGAAGCCTTGACCAACAATGTTCAGTGGTTTGGTCCTAGAAGTCGGATTATCATCACAACAGAAGATCGAAGTCTTTTGAACGCACATGGGATCAACCATATATACAAGGTTGGTTTTCCATCAAATGATGAGGCTCTTCAAATGTTCTGCATGTATGCTTTTGGTCAAAAGTCCCCTAAAGACGGTTTTTATGAACTTGCGCGTGAAATTACATACCTTGTCGGTGAACTTCCTTTAGGACTAAGGGTTATTGGATCCCACTTTCGTGGATTGTCCAAGGAGCAGTGGTCAATGGAAATATCAAGGTTAAGGACTAACCTTGATGGAGATATTGAGAGCATTTTGAAGTTCAGTTATGATGCTTTATGTGATGAAGATAAAGATTTATTCCTTCATATAGCTTGCTTTTTCAACAACGAAAATATAAACAAATTAGAAGAATTTATTGGCCAAAGATTCAAGGATTTGAGTCAAAGGCTATTGGGAGAACCGGAGATCGACCGAGATCGACGATCGAGATGATCGCCCAAGATTACTCTCATCAATACCATGATATCTTTACGTTTTAGAGGAGAAATCTCTCATATCTATTGAAAGATTTCTTGAATATGTGAGTATAAAAATGCACAATTTGCTGGCCCAACTAGGTAAAGAAATCGTCCGTAAAGAATCTCGTGAGCCTGGGCAACGCCGATTTTTGTTTGATAATAAAGATATTTGTGAAGTAGTCTCTGGTTATACAACTGTAAGTCTTTCCATTATTCTTTCATTGCAGTGCTCACCATAACTTGAGTCTATTTTATCATCTCTACTTATCTTTGGGTCTTTTTTCTCAGAATACTGGAAGTGTTGTAGGCATAAACTCCAATTATGGGTTAAATATAACTGAGAGAGCCTTTGAAGGAATGCCTAATCTCCAGTTCTTAAGAGTCGGATACAATACTCATCATCCAAACATTATATCTTCTTCAGGACCTCTAATTTTTATATCTCCGAAGCTACGATTAATAGATTAGTGGTTTTTCCCGATGACATCTTTCCCTTTTATTAATAATCTGGAATTCCTTGTCGAATTAAGTATGCGTTATAGCAAACTTGAGAAGCTGTGGGACGGAATCAAAGTAAGTAATTTAAATTTTTTAATTGTTTTAAATTTTAGTTTTGTATGTAGAATATCCTCTCTTGTACATTAAATTAACTTGAAAAATTATATTTTACTTGCTACTTCGTTTCTAGCATGAAAATATATACATTTTTTAAATTTTATGTGTTCAATTGCTAAGTGTATCAAAGTAATTGTCTATTTTGTCATTATTCTCCTTTACAGCTGCTTCGAAACCTCAAGTGTATGGATTTGGCAAATTCTGAAAACCTGAAGGAGCTTCCTAATCTCTCAATGGCCACTAGTCTTGAGGAGTTAAACCTTGAAGGATGTTCAAGTCTGGTGGAGCTCCCTTCTTCTGTTGGTAATTTAACTAATCTCCAGAAATTATCACTTGAAGGATGCTCAAGGCTTGTATCACTCCCACAGCTTCCAGATTCCCCAATGGTCCTAGATGCAGAAAATTGTGAGTCCCTAGAGAAACTAGATTGCTCCTTTTACAATCCATGTATTCATCTCAACTTCGCTAACTGCTTCAAACTAAATCAAGAAGCAAGAGATCTCCTCATCCAGACATCAACTGCTAGATTGGTGGTCTTACCCGGTAAAGAAGTTGATACTTGCCACTTCGTTTAATATAGATTAACTTGAAAGATTATATTATACTTGCCACTTCGTTTCTAGCATGAAAATGTATCTTTTAAAATTTTTGTGTTCAATTGCTAAGTGTATCAAAGTAATTGTGTATTTTGTCATTATTCTCCTTTACAGCTGCTTCGAAATCTCAAGCGTATGGATTTGGCATATTCTGAAAACCTGAAGGAACTTCCTAATTTCTCGATGGCCACTAGTCTTGAGCATTTAGATCTTAGAGGCTGTTTAAGTCTGGAGGAGCTCCCTTCTTCTATTGGAGATTTAACTAATCTATGGAAATTAGATCTTAGAGGCTGTTTAAGTTTGGTGGAGGTCCCTTCTTCTATTGGGGATTTAACTAATGTTTGGGAATTATATCTTAGTGAATGTTTAAGTTTGGTGGAGCTCCCTTCTTCTATTGGGAATTTAACTAATCTCCATGCATTAGTACTTAAAGGATGTTCAAGTCTAGTGGAGCTCCCTTCTTCTATTGGGAATTTAACTAATCTCCATAAATTATCACTTGAAGGATGCTCAAGGCTTGTATCACTCCCACAGCTTCCAGATTCCCTAATGGTCCTAAATGCAGAAAATTGTGAGTCCCTAGAGAAACTAGATTGCTCCTTTAGCAATCCGGGTACTTGGCTTAACTTTTCTTACTGCTTCAAACTAAATAAAGAAGCAAGAGATCTCCTCATCCAGACATCATCTGTTAACGTTGTGGTCTTACCCTGTAAAGAAGTGCCTGCGTGCTTCACTTACAGAGGTTATGGGAATTCCGTAACAGTGAAGTTGAATCAAAAGCCTCTTCCTACATCAATTAAATTTAAGGCTTGTTGAAGGTTATGGGTCGGTGTTTTGTTGCATCAGAGACAAACTGAATCGTTTCTCAGTCCACTCTCCAATTATAACGGAGCATCTATACATTTTCGAAGTTGAAGTAGAGGAGGTGACTTCCACCGAGCTTGTTTTGGATTTCGAGATCTTCGATTACGATTCCAAGACTAGGGAGATAATAGAATGCGGGATAATCCACATCTTGGAACATCATGTTGATGGCGACGAAAAGATGGCGATGAAGATGGAGACAATGTAGATCTGAGACAAACATTGAAACTCAAGTGAAACAGAGAAGCCACAAGACAAAATTGCAAGGACGAATGGTAAGTTTGCATTTTCACAACTCAAGAACTTACTTTGTTGATAAACTTTGCATAACAACTGTTCAATGAAATGTCTAAGTGAGCTTTTTAAGTTTAAAGTGACAATAGCTAGAACTGCAATCTCCAAAATGATTTTTGAATTCAATCGTGTAGGGTTTAGAGCTGGAGCTTAAGAAACTCTTGAAGGTGAAGTTGAAGACGTCCATGAAGATCTATTTAAGAAACAGGTACAAAACTTATACATTCTTTTGATTTATGTGTTTTGTTTGTCTTCTCAATTCATGACAATACAAATATAAATTGTTTGTGATATCTTGCTCTAGGCACAAGTAAAGTCGTTTCAATATGCATTTGTCAAGTGAATTGTGTCTTTTACCCACATGTTCCTCTCTGTTTCTCATTTGAATAATCAGTTTGTTCCTGTTTCAGTATTGCTTAATTCTATTCCTGAAATTCGTTAGAACATAGCAAAAGTTAAAATGGCTCTGAGATTTTAGAGTAGGCTTCTAGTTTATGTTCTCTGTATGAATGAAGACATGCTATTTTATTCTATATGAATAGGTGAACTATTCCATTTGGCCTCTCAAGTTTCACAATTCTTGATTTTGCTGCAACTTTTTTTGTAGCATATATTGGCCTCTTGAAATTTAGTTATCTTTAATTAAGGTTTAATAAAAGTAAAATCTGTATGGGACTAAGAAGAACAAGTATTGAATGAGGTTTATTGGGTGACAAGGCACCTATATAGGAACTTGACAAGTGTAATGGATTTGCTCATTCTATTAGACGGTGTAACCGAATCAAGATGTTGGATTGTGTTGTATTAGGTAGCGAATATGGGCGGTTACGGACAAATGAATTCGAAATTTGGTGATAGAATTGGAAATGTGGATGCCATTGATTTTCCAATGCAAAGCAGAAGAATCTCAGGAGGTCTTTTCTCTTTTTTCTTGACAAGAAGTTTCAACAGCCATTTCCACTTCCAATTCTTATCGATAATATTCAATTTCAACTGAAAACGAAGAACTCGTGGCTAATTATATGCTGACAAAGTATGTTATCTTTCATGTTAGGTGATGTGTAAAATTTTGTTCACTCATTTAACTTGTAATTAGTCTCCTATTACATATAATTTATAATAGACTCTAGTTATAGGAATCCGAACTAAATTTCTCTTGATAAAAATATGATCGTGGTGTTCCTCGTGTTTAACAAATTGCAAACTATTAACTTTCAACAGAGTTGTGTGACTTGAGAAAAACAGAGGACTTTGTTGGTATGAAGTCTCATAGTATAAACAGAAGACTCTGTTTCACACAGTTACGAAAAAATCTGTAGAAATCAAACCTTTTGTACAGAAGCAAGAATTTTGTAACCTTCTTAGCTACATAACATTAACATTGGATCTTTATACTCTTTGGATTTTTCATAAAACGACATGAATATATGTCCTCAATACGAAACATAGCCTGATGCATTATCTCGTCGGCGCATGTGAACTTAGATTTAAGTCTATAGAATCCGTTTTTGCTATTAAAAAATCCAAAACCCTCTTAGAAATATGATTCAACAAATCCAAAATCAACTAGGAAATATCCATAAGCAATAGAAACTTTCCAAGGAATGACTTATCTGCATAGCCAAATGTTAGTATTCAGTAATATGAATCATCACTTATGAGATTGTTTGGTATGAACCTTACTTTTCCTTAGAATAACATTTATATTTTCTTTAGAAGTGTCTCTGAAGTGATTAGCTGTTAAAGAGTAAATAGCTACAAATTCCGTTAATAGTGGAGGGACAATGATTACTCTCATAAACCTTTATGTTCACAGAAATTTATTTATAAAGATTAATTGATGGTTCTGAGTCTTTTAGAGAGTGTTGTGTGGATTCAGCTTCTCGTTTATGTCGTCTGTATGACTAAGAACTGTTATAATTGTTTGTCAAACATGTAATAAACTTGAAGGAGTTGAAGATCTAATTTACCTACTTCAGAAATAGGTACAAAACTTAATTAATCGATACATTCTTTGATATATGTGTTTTGTTTGTCTTCTCAATTCATGGCAATACATATAAAAAATGTTTGTGATATTTAGATGTTCAGTAAAAACTCTAGGCACAAAGTAGAGCCGTTTCAATATGCATTTGCCAAATGAATTGTGTCTTTTTTGATATGGCAGAAGAGAAATCACACAGTTACATGTCAAATTTAACAAAATGGAGATTTTGACAAAGCTCTTCTCATATTACATGATCATGACACATTACACTAGAGATCACATCCACACAAGCTTTAGTATTTTATCTTGTTGAAATTGAAATTATCATAAGACGAAAAAGGACTAAATTTTTATTAAGAAGACAATTGACTTTTACAATTCACCTACTATGTTATAACGCCAACCAAAACTTGATTCAGGCAAGAAGTCCAAAAAAATTCCATTTCCTTGAACAAAAAATAATAATTTAGATGTCATGATAAAAAGCAGATTAAATTTTGCTCTGTTTTCTGTTTTTGAATCTTTCCTTTGATTTTTAATGTAGTTTAGACGGCAAAAAAAAAAAATTATTACTTCCTCCAGCGAAAGAGGGCTGTTTCAAAGCCTCCAGCGAAACACTATGGAAAATCTCCAAACGTTACTTCCTTTGTCAACTCTTGATTTTGCATATTGGCAAAAGTCATGAGTATAATAATAAACGTATCAATCGGATATTTTGAAGTTTTTTAATCTTTGTAATAAGGTGAAATAATTGGATGGGTTGCATGCATTTTCTTATTCAAATTAAATTTCTCAGAGGAAATATCAATTCTAAAGATATTTTATGTCACGTTCTAAGCCTATATACATTCAAATTTTAATCCTTACCCCTACATAACTGAAAATTCTTCTATCGATCATAGTAATGGCTTTTTCTTCTTCTTCTTCTTCTCTTTCGATTCCTTTATCTTCTTCGTCTCAAAACTGGGAGTACGATGTCTTTCCCAGCTTCCACGGGAAAGATGTACGCAAAACCTTTCTCAGCCACCAACTGAAGGAGTTCGGAAGAAAAGCAATCAACTTTTTTGTTGATAACGAGATCAAGAGAGGAGAATTCATCGGTCCTGAACTCAAACGGGCAATCAAAGGATCTAAGATTGCTGTTGTCTTGCTCTCCAAGAATTACGCTTCTTCTTCGTGGTGTCTTGACGAATTGGTGGAGATCATGAAGAAAGAGTCGGGTCAAACGGTGATTACCATTTTCTATGAAGTAGATCCAACTGATGTGAAGAAGCAGAAGGGAGACTTTGGGAAGGTCTTCAAAAAAACTTGCAAAGGTAAAGGCAAGGAGAAGGTTCAGACATGGAAGAAAGCTTTGGAGGGTGTGGCCACAATCGCGGGTTACCATTCAAGCAACTGGTTCGTTTTCTTGATTTAAATTCACTTGATTTTAATATTTCTAACACATCAAACTATATTTGTAGCATTCATAGTGATTAGTTATTAACAAGATGTATGTATAAAGTGATCTTCCTCTTTGTTAGGGTTGATGAATCAACCATGATTGAAAACATCGCTGCTGAAATTTCGAACAAGCTCAATCATTTGACGCCGTCACGTGATTTTGACCATTTAATTGGGATGGGAGCTCAAAGTCTATTTGTTAGTCCTTACTTTCACATAGCTCTATTATTAGATCTCTGATCTTAAATCTTCTCTCTATCGTAGCAATGGCTTCTTCTGCTCTTTCGATTCCTTCATCTTCTTCGTCTCAAAACTGGGAGTACGATGTCTTTCCGAGCTTCCACGGGAAAGATGTACGCATAACCTTTCTCCGCCACATTCTCAAGGAGTTTGGAAGAAAAGCAATCAACTTTTTTGTTGATAACGAGATCAAGAGAGGAGAGTTCATCGGTCCTGAACTTAAACAGGCGATCAAAGGATCTAAGATTACTCTTGTCTTGCTCTCCAAGAATTACGCATCTTCGTCGTGGTGTCTTGATGAATTGGTGGAGATCATGAAGAAAGAGTCGGGTCAAACGGTGATTACCATTTTCTATGAAGTAGATCCAACGGATGTAAAAAAGCAGACCGGAGATTTTGGGAAGGCCTTCAAAGAAACTTGTCAAGGTAAAACTGAGGAGAAGGTTCAGACATGGAAGGAAGCTTTGGAGGGTGTGGCCACAATCGCAGGTTACCATTCAAGCAACTGGTTAGTGTTCTTGATTTCCACTTTCTTTTAATTCTAACACATCAAGCCATATATCTTTAATTGTAACGTTCGAACTGAATGTAGACAAGAGAGTCATAATTGATCTTGCTCTTTGGTAGGATTGATGAAGCAACCACGATCGAAAAGATTGCTGCTGATATTTTATTGGAGATAAGCAAGATGTGTATCTTGCGGACCAAGTAATATGGACCGTTAAAGTCCATTATGAAGTGAAGCCCGTGAAGCCTAAACCGAAGAATATTCTAGATCTCTATATTACTTCTTGTACAAGTTATTTACTTATATGTTTAGGAAAGTTTACATTATGTGGGTGTTAACATTATGTTAATGTTAACACTATATATATGTATCTTATATTTTCATATGAGAGAAAACTCAATAAAGTATTTTATAGATTCTATAATATTTGACATGGTATCAGAGCAGTCGATCCTTGTGGATCTGAATTAAATGCTTCCGCATTAAAAATCTTGTGGTCACAATAACCATGGGATGTGAAGCCATCGAAGACGGTGGTGACGAAGACGATCCGGATGATGACGTGAAGCAAAGTTTGCTTTGACGTCCACATGAGAGTTTTATATTTCTTTTATTCTAAGTTAATGTTTTAGGTTGATTTTGAGTTTATGATTTGGTTTAGCACAAGAATTAGAGATCTTTGAGGAATTATTATGTTTTAAGGGTTTGGGATTTCACAAGTAGTTGTTTATTTATGAGATTTATTCTTGAGTTTAGAATATCTCATTTTTTTAATGTGAGTTTTGATTTCTCATATTACGGGGGAGTTTATTGGAACACTCATGTTTTAGGCTATTTTTAGTCCGGTTTGTGGACTGTCCGAGATAGGACGATTATTTGTGGAGTTGCAGGATTTGCGCCCACGGAATATTGTTATTCCCTTTTACTAAGACCAAAGACGAGCTGAAGTTCCATCCTCTTTTGAAAATTGAAGTTTATACCTGAGGAGACTGTTGACATGATTTGTCCGTCCTCGACATGATGTCCACGACATAGGTGTTCTGCTTTGTCGTTGCATATTTTGCGTTTCGCATCCCACCTTTGTCGTGCGGGGGAGTATTGGAGATAAGCAAGATGTGTATCTTGCGGACCAAGTAATATGGACCGTTAAAGTCCATTATGAAGTGAAGCCCGTGAAGCCTAAACCGAAGAATATTCTAGATCTCTATATTACTTCTTGTACAAGTTATTTACTTATATGTTTAGGAAAGTTTACATTATGTGGGTGTTAACATTATGTTAATGTTAACACTATATATATGTATCTTATATTTTCATATGAGAGACAACTCAATAAAGTATTTTATAGATTCTATAATATTTGACATATTTCGAAAATGCTTAATCATTTGACGTTGTCACGTGATTTTGACCATTTAATTGGGATGGAAGCTCATATGGAAAGGATGGAACAGTTTTTACGTCTAGATTTGGATGAAGTGAGGATGATTGGGATTTGGGGTCCGGCTTGGATTGGGAAGACCACCATCGCCAGGTTTTTGTTTAACCAAGTCTCAAGCAGTTTCCAAAATAGCGCAATAATGGTAAATATCAAAGGAAGCTATCCAAGACCTTGTCGAGATGTGTACAAAGCAAAGTTGAAACTACAGAAAAAAATGTTGTCCCATATGATCAACCAGAAAGATATCGTGATTTCTCATTTAGGAGTCGCACAAGAACGATTGAGACACAGGACAGTGCTTCTCGTGCTTGACGATGTGGATCAGTTTGCACAACTAGAAGCCTTGGCTAAAGATGTTAAATGGTTTGGTCCTAGAAGTCGGATTATCATCACAACAGAAGATCTAAGACTTTTGAAGAAGCATGGGATCAACCATATATACAAGGTTGATTTTCCATCAAATGATGAGGCTCTTCAAAGGTTCTGCATGTATGCTTTTAACCAAAAGACCCCTGAAGATGGTTTCGATGCACTTGCTCGTGAAATTACATACCTTGTCGGTGAACTTCCTTTAGGACTAAAGGTTATTGGATCCCACTTTCGAAGATTGTCCAAGGAGCAGTGGTCAATGGAAGTATCAAGGTTAAGGACTAACCTTGATGGAGATATTGAGAGCATTTTGAAGTTCAGTTATGATGCTTTATGTGATGAAGATAAAGAATTATTCCTTCCTATAGCTTGCCTTTTCAACCTAGTAGATATAAAGATATTAGAAGAACTTATTGGCAAAAGATTCAAGGATTTGAGACGAAGGCTTTACGTTTTAGAGGAGAAATCTCTCATATCTATTGAAATTTTGTTTGACTATGGGTATATAAAGTATGAGTATATAATGATGCATAATTTGATGGCCCAACTAGGTAAAGAAATCGTCCTTAAAGAATTTCGTGAGCCTGGGCATCGCCAATTTTTGAATGATTATAAAGATAATTGTGAAGTAGTCTCAATAGTAAGTTTTGCCATTATTTTTTCATTGCACTGCTCATCATAACTTGAGTTTATTTTAACATCTCTACTTATTTTTTGTTCATTTTTCTCAGATTGTTGGGACTGTTGTAGGTGAGAAAACCTTTGAAGGAATGCCTAATCTCCAGTTCTTAAGAGTCGGATACATTCCTGATCATCCAAACATTATATCTTCTTCGAAGCTAGAATCACTAGATTGGTCGTGTTTCCCGATGACATCTTTCCCTTTTATTAATAATCTGAAATTCCTTGTCGAATTAAGAATGTTAGACAGCAAACTTGAGAAGCTGTGGGACGGAATCAAAGTAAGTCATTTAAATTTCTTTCTTGTTTAAATTTTTTGTTTTGTATGAAGAATATCCTCTCTTGTACAGTAAATTAACTTGAAAGATTATATTTTACTTGCCACTTCGTTTCTAGCATGAAAATGTATAATTTTTTTTTTTAATTTTATGTGTTCAATTGCTAAGTGTATCAACATAATTGTGTATATTTTGTCTTCATTTTTCTTTACAGCTGCTTAAGAATCTCAAGCGTATGGATTTGTCAAATTCCAAAAACCTGAAAGAGCTTCCTAATCTCTCAAAGGCCATTAGTCTTGAGGAGTTAAACCTTGAAGGATGTTCAAGTCTGGTGGAGCTCCCTTCTTCTGTTGGTAATTTAACTAATCTCCAGGAATTATCACTTGAAGGATGCTCAAGGCTTGTATCACTCCCACAGCTTCCAGATTCCCTAATGGTCCTAGATGCAGAAAATTGTGAGTCCCTAGAGAAAATAGATTGCTCCTTTTGCAATCCGGGTAGTGATGTCATCTTCGCTAACTGCTTCAAACTAAAACAAGAAGCAAGAGATCTCCTCATTCAGACATCAACTGCTAACTTGGTGGTCTTACCTGGTGAAGAAGTTCTTGCGTGCTTCACTTACAGAGGTTATGGGAGTTCCGTAACAGTGAAGTTGAATCAAAAGCCTCTTCCTACATCAACCAAATTTAAGGCTTGCATCTTATTTGGTAACAAGGGCGAAAAAGACGCTATTTCTATTTATTGGGACACAACATGTGTGTATACCAAGAAGAATAAGGGTTGCATCTTGTTGGATAATAAAGGTGAACATGAGGAACGAGGGTCGGTGTCTTGTTGCATCAGAGACAAACTGGATGGTTTCTTATACCACTTGCCAATTTTAGTGGAGCATCTATACATTTTCGAAATTGAAGTAGAGGAGGTAACTTCCACCGAGCTTGTTTTTGATTTCGAGATCTTCGATGAGGATTCCAGGACTAGGGAGATAAAAGAATGCGGGATAATCCACATCTTGGAACATCATGTTGATGGCGACGAAAAGATGGCGATGAAGACTAGAAGAAAACATGTGATTAGTGACTACATTCGGCGACTGATTATGTAGTCACTAAATTTTAGGACTGAATTGCGATTTTTTGGCGACTGAATGTTGCAAAAGTTACAGTAGTCGCTAATCCGTCTGCATTTTGAGAATGATAAAAATAGTCTTAAAATAGTCGCCAAATTCGGCGACGAAAAGGCTACGAATGTTTTAGTCGCCATAGATGGCTACTGCGTAGCTACGATTTAGCGACTATCTTTTTCTTATTGGGCATATTAATTGGGCTCGATCCCCAATTCTCTCTCGATCCAGTGACATTCGGAGTTTGGCCCTAATTCCCATTTCTTTCATTCTCTCGATCCCTAATTTCGTAAACCCTAATTCTATCCCCAATTCTCGATCACCAAATCTCTCTCTCGATCCTCAATCCTTCAATCTTTCAATCTCTCAATATCTCTTTCAATCTCTGTCTCAATTCCTCTCATCTCAATCCGCAAACCCTAATCCGCAAACCCTAATCGGATTCCTCTCAATCTGCAAACCCTCGATTCCTCTCTAATCTCTCTCAATCGATGGCTCCTCGTGTTCGCGGTGGAAAAGGCAGGGGACCGAAGTCTCCGTACAAGTGACCCACTTGCCCAAGTCGACCTACATCTTCCGGTGTGTCGCATCGAAGACCTAGAAGCCTTTCCTCCCAATATGACTTCACGCCAGCGAACCCTCAAACTCCAATTCCAGAGACTTAGCAAAATCGGAGTTGCCAGCCTTCACCGGTTCCTACTCAGAGAGACTATTCTCCTCCTCAGCAGCTTTTCCAGACAGAAGAAGTATCCATGCATGCATTTGCATCTCCTCGAGGCTCTGGATCGACTCCTTTTCGAGCATCCGGATCGACTCAAGTCAGAGTGTCTATCTCCTCTGTTCATCGGCTAGCCTCCGGATCTCCTCGCGCTGTTCAGTTTCCAGCACCGGTTCAGTCTCCAGCCTTGAATCAACAACGACCACCTCTTCAGGTACCAAGAGCTTCTGTGTCTGGTCATAGTTCTCAAGCACAAAACGTACATGATGAAGAAGATGAAGAAGGTGACGCTGAAGGTGAATCAGACAAAGAAGGTTTGAGGGATCCAACTCTCCCGGAAGATGTGCTCGCTTCATTAAATGATTTTCTTTCCATGCCAAGCCGTGAGCTCTATACCACTGTCATCTCTCCGACATTGGAGCCTGGAACGACTTGGTAGGTCATAATCTGTCTCCTCTGTTTAGGTTTAGGTCAGTTCGAGTTTGGTTTAGGTATGTATTGGTTTGTGTTTAGGTTTTAGGTCTGTATTGGTTTGTGTTTAGGTTTAGGTTCAGTTTGTGTATAGGTTTAGGTCTGTTTCTGTTAAGGTTTAGGTCGGTTTTTGTTTGTGTTAAGGTTTTAGGTCGGTATTGGTTTGTGTTTAGGTTTAGGTATAGTTTGTGTATAGGTTTAGGTCTGTATAGTTAAGGTTTAGGTCTGTTTTTGTTTGTGTTATGGGTATGTATTGGTTTGTGTTTAGGGTTTAAGTTTAGGTATAGTTTGTGTATAGGTTTAGGTCTGTATAGTTTGTGTAATGTATGGTTTGTATAGGTTTAGGTATGGTATGTTTGTGTCAAGGTTTAGGTATGGTCTGTTTGTGTGTAGATTATACTTATGTTTAGGTCTATTGGTGTATAGATTATACTTATGTTTATGTATGTATTCTAGTGTATAGGTCTGTTTGTGTATAGCTAACTGTATTATATTTTCTTGTAGGTTTGGTAAGGATAATGGTAAGCTGGCCCTAAAGATCATCAAATGTTTTATAAACAAGTTTGATGGACCATAATACAGTTGGAGTTGTGTGCCAACTGGAAGAAGAGAAAGATACTTTCTTGAATTCGCGGTAAGCTTCTATCCCTCTTCTACTACTGTATTTCATACTACTGTTTTGTTTTTTTGATAACTAACATCTGCTTCACTCTCCTCTTGTTTTGTAGAAACAACACACCAGGCATCCCTCACTGGCATGTGTGGTTGAAGCCAAGTTCTATAAGATCATTGCACTGCGTATGAAAGACATGGTTTGTAAGGTAGGGACAAAAAGACTGAGGCCGTATTGGATTGAGAAAACTCTGTGGAAAGAGATGTGTCAGTATTGGGATACTAAAAGAAGCAATAGCCAAGAGTTCAACCACATCAACAACTAGGATGTCTGACCGTACTGGTCTTGGTCCTCACAAGCATGTTTCTGGTCCAAAGTCTTTCCTACAAGTAGAGCAAAAGATGGTAAGTTACTTCTCTTTTTCCCAATTTGTTTTGTTTAGTTACATTCTGACATCTTTGTTACAACATTGTAGGAAGTTAAATTGGAAAGACCGCCTACAATTGGAGAAGTGTTCATCAGGACTCATACCAAAAAGGATGGGACATTTGTGGATAGGAAGGCGCAGGAAATCCATGAGGTATATCTCAAGAACAAGGCAGCTAAGTTGGCTGCCCTTCATGTGAATGATGAACAGTCTGATGGTACTTCGCGTCGGTCTGAGCTATCTCATGAGGAGGATGATGAGATCTTTCTTCAGGTAATACTCTTGTCTTTTGGTCTGCAGTCTACTTTTATCATATTCAGTTTGTGATCACCGGTTAAGGACTAATTTTTTACTTTGTTTTGCAGTCTACTATCACAAATGATAGAGGGGAATACTTTGGAGTTGGAAGCTTAGGGGTTTACATCAATGGGAAGCGTAAGTACGCAGGAAGCAGCTCTTCTTTCACAACCCTGCAATCACAGCTTGAGGATGCTAACTACAAGATGGAGGAATAAGCAGCTTTACAACCAGAACGTGAAGCAGAGGCATTGCGGGTTCCAGCATCACAAGCAGTTGAGATCAAGCACTTGACGATGGTGAAGAAGTACTTGAGTGAAATTGACCCTAATTTTCTAGCATTTCTCAAGTCCCAATCAACTCCTGCTGTGGATGATCATTCAGAGGTCCAAGCTACTACTCCTGCTGCAAATCCTGATGGTACTACTCTTGCTACTTAGCTTTCTCTCCTCTCAACTCAAAAACTTGAACTTGATCTTTGGTTTGTACTTATGGTAGAAGTATGTTTTCTTTGTATTGAACTGAAATGTTTATTATGTTTTGTATGTATTGAACAAGTATTGTGTGTTTGTATGTTTATTAAGCACTTCTTCTTTTAATTCAAAAGTTCTTTTTGTATGTTTGGTTTTGATTAGTAAATGCTAATTCGTAATTGGAATCAAAATAAGCAGGTCAAATCGATAAATAAACCTCTAATAAATCACAAAGAGATAGCAATTCAGTTACCAAAACATTCATAAAACAGTCGCCTTGTAGTGGCCTTTTTGTTACTTCCTCAGTCACCTATTAGTTGCCACAACATTCGTCAATTAGTGACATGTTTGTAGCCAAACAGTCGCTCATTTAGCGACTAAAAAGTGACCGAATGGCGACTCCAAAGAGTTGGCGCGATTGGTCGCTAAATAGCGACTATTAGGCTACCATTAATTTTAGCGACGAATTGTTCAGCGACAACGTGTATTAGTCGCTAATTAGTCGTAATGATGGGTTTAGCGACTCTTTAGTTACGGTTTTTGTAGTCGCTAAATCCATGTTTTCTTGTAGCGATGGAGACAATTGTGAGTGAAAAAAACAAATTCCCGAGTTACATGGTACAATCTAATGTCACTGGGGATTTGCATTGTGGTCTCTCTGGTTTACAGATTTTGTACTTGAAGCAATAATTAAGATCAGAAGAAGCTTATTTAGATCAGAGCGATGAAGATGGAGACAATTGAGAAGCCACAAGACAAAATTGCAAGGACGAATGGTCAGTTTGCATTTTCACAACTCAAGAACTTACTTTGTTGATAAACTTTGCATAACAACTGTTCTTGTTTCAGTATTACTTAATTCTTTAGATATTGTTTTACTGAATGTATAACGATTGCACGATCAAAGCAAGAACATAGCAAAAGTTAAAATGGCTCATGAGGCTTCTAGTTTATGTTCTCTATATGAATGAAGACATGCTATTTTATTCTATATGAATAGGTGAACTATTCCATTTGGCGTCTCTTCTTTTTTTTTGCCAAACACCATTTTATAAAGTTATCGGACGAAGACTTTCCTCTAGAGAGAGCCAATCCGGAGCCGATGTGCTTACATGGGAGAATAAAGAACCTCATGCTCTTGCCTTTTTTGCGAGACAATCGGCACGTATATTGTTACATCTCGGAATAAATCTAATAAAAAACGAAGGGAAGGACAGCTTCAAAAGCTTAAAATGTTGTAACTGCAAACGTAGGCCAATCAGATGGATTATCTAAAATGGAAATCAGTTCGGAGCAATCTGTGGCGAAGCCAAAATTCGTCATCGAGTCTGAGATGAGGCACTCCATTGCCCATAGAAGGGTGTCGAATTCTGCTTGCAGGGGTGATAATCCCCGACGGGAACTTTTCAGTTCTAAGAGAATAAGGGTATCTCCATCCATAACAATCCACCAATGTCCACCGAGGGGGTCAGTTACTTTCCAAGTGCCATCGATTTGACATTCTGATTGAGGAGTGCCCGAGATTATAGGGTCAGGAGGTGGCCTTACGCCTTCAACAAGGAGATCGTCTTTATTATTTGCAATCTTCCATGCATTCACCTCTTGAACGGCATCCTCTAGAGTGTTCTGGGGAGACTCCCGGATATTTTCTAATATAAAGCTGTTTCGAGCCTTCCATAGATACCACAATATCCATGGGAATAAATGCCCAATTTCTTCTCCAATAATCATCCATTTCGCTCTCCAAAAAAGAAAGTCCATATTAGAGAATATGGACTGACTTGGGAAGGAGGAAGGCAATGTTGGGATTGGTGAAAGGGCCCAGGTTTGAAGCGCTGGTGGGCATTCAAAGAGGAGGTGATTAATTGTCTCCTCTTCAGCACCACATCTTGGACAATGCTTCTCCTTACCAATGTGTCGGTAGAATAAAGTATGGTTTGTCGCTAGACATCCTGATAAACATTGCCACACAAAATGCTTAAGCTTTCGTGTAGTTTTTAACTTCCATACTTGTGCCAGAAGGGGGGTGATCCCTGGTCCCTGAAAAGGGTGGTCACAAGTAGGACGGGAAAGATCCCGCGCAGCCCAATACCCTGACTTAACAGAATAGTTACCAGATTTTGTGCCATTCCAGCTATATCCATCACTTAAATACGAGCGACTTGGTCGGATACCTAGAATCTGAGGGATATCCGAAGAGTCAATCAAAGCATGAAGTCGCTCAAGTTTCCACTGTTTGGAAATAGGATCAATCAAATGATCCACATAAAGATGTGGATCTCTCTCGGTTGTCTTGCCTTTGGCAGGACGAGCCAGAATGTCGGGAATCCAGGGATCTAACCAAACTCTGGTATTCATCCCTGAACCTATAGTCCTCCTTAATCCCGAGGTAAGGAGCCGTTTTGACGCCATAATACTCCGCCACCCATAAGAGGGTCTATTGGATTTTTTTATCTCAAGTGGATCACTGTAACGGTAGTACCTTCCCCGGAGAACACGGCTGAGGAGATAATTTGGAAATTTGATTAGGCACCACAATTGTTTGGCTAGTAGAGCAAGGTTAAATTCTTCCAACGTTCTAAAGCCTAGACCTCCTTCTGATAGTTGGGTGTATAGTTTGTCCCAGGCAATCCAATGGATTCCTTTACTATCTGCTTTTGTCTTCGACCAAAAATCCGCAATAGCACTGCTTAGCTTTGAACGGATAGCTTTAGGTAAGAGGAAGCACGACATGACATATGTCGGAAGAGCTTGCGCTACTGATTTTATTAGATTCTGTTTCCCACCCTTGGAAAGGAATTTGGCTAACCACGTATTGAGCCGACTATGAAGACGATCTCGGACAAAGGCAAAAACTTGGGTTTTGGAGCCGTGGATCTTTTCAGGAAGTCCCAAATAAGTACCCATTCCCCCTTCGTTAGTTATCCCAAGGGTTCTTTTTATGGTACTGCGAGTCTGATCATCAACGTCTTTGCCAAACATCACCGAGGATTTCCGAAAATTTAGCTGTTGGCCTGAAGCCGCGCCATATAAGCGAATTATGTCTATTATAGCCTTCCCCTGGTCTTTATTCACTCTACAGAAAAACAAGCTATCATTTGCAAAGAGGTAATGAGAGGTTGAAGGGCTTGCTTTCGATACCTGAAGGCCTTGAATTTGGCCATTCCATTCCACCGATTTTAGTTGGGCAATTAAAGCCTCCGTGCATAAGATGAAAAGAAAAGGAGGGGTCTCCTTGTCCTCTCAAGTTTCACAATTCTTGATTTTGCTGCAACTTTTTTTGTACCATATATTGGCCTCTTGAAATTTAGTTATCTTTAATTTGTATGAGATTAAGAAGAACAAGTATTGGATGAGGTTTATTGGGTGACAAGGGACCTATATAGTGTGGATGTCGGAATCCGCAATACAAATTTTAAGATGTGTATCGGGTCGTCTAGCCTTGCTAATTCGAATAGCAATCGTCAAAAAGAAAACAAAAGAGTGAAGTATGTGTATCCGTTTATTGCTCAAGAAATTCGGTCCCCCTTACAATGATCTACAACCCCTATTTATAATTACATCGTCGAAATCCGTTCCCACCAATCTAGCCGCGAATCACGCCCTTATTATTATTTACGTTTTGAATCTTCTCCAATCTGTGAATTCCGTATGACCCGCACTTTATTTACTTCGCAGATTCCGACGTTACATTCGAGCTGGATTTGAAATTAAGTGGGCTTTTCATCTCATCATATGGGCTAGCTTGACGGCCCACTTCGTTTCCTGAATCCTAAACTTTCCGGGCCGGATCCGAATTACGGGATCCGACACCAACAGTTTGCCCCCCAAGTATTCCGAAGTGTATGCTTCGGGATACTTATGATATTGAAAATCTTGTAACAAAGGAAATTCGACATAAATACCGTCAATCTCGGGATTTTCCTGTGTCTGAGGTGACGCTTCAAGATCCTAGGGTTTTCACTTTTCCCGCCAACCGAGAGATTCTTCTCGGGAACGAGGCGACGCTTCGAGATCCTAGGGTTTTCACTTTTCCCGCCAAAACGTTCTATATATTAGACTGGACCCTTCGGGTTCTGTACCTTGCCTTCAATACCCACGATCCACTTCTGTCCTTCGTTTATTTAAAGGTATCCCTCTTCTCCTTACTCCTAAATTCTCCGATTGATTTTGTTTTTCGCTTTAAACTCTTGAATCCGATTAGATTTTTAGAAGTAGATTATTCTTAGCATCTGCTTTCCGCTAGGTTTAGGCCATAGATCTGAAGATCTTTTAGATTTTCAACCGTTAGGTGTGAAGAAACTTCCGTCAATTGCCGTTCCTCCGCCGTACTCCTTCGAATTCCGGTGGTTCTCCCCCGTCATCCGAAGAATACTTTCCGTCGGGATCTTCATCTCCCTGGTTTTCGGCGAAGATCTTCACCAGTGTTCTTGAGGGTTTCTCGATTCATTTCTTGCCAGATCTTTTTTCATCTTTAGAACTTTCAATTTCATGTTATGGCTCCGAAGAAGAGTAAGAAGGTCCGAAATGAATCTTTCATCCTCGAAGATGAGTTCGGGAAATACTTTTCCTTAGAACTCGATGACAGGAAACTAGCTCTGATGAAAGGCGGCTGCGGTATCCCTCGACAAGTTAAACTGATAGCTCCGGAGCCCAGAGAGTCTCCTGAATCTCCTCCTACCGATCACTGTTGCGCCTTCGAAATATTCTTTTCGGAGTGCGGCCTTTCCTTTCCTTTACCGGAGCTTCTGATAGAACTTATGCATGAACTGGGGATCGCTTTGCCTCAGCTTTGCCCGAACGTAGTTCGGATAGTACTATGCCTCCAGACTCTTGCAGAGGAGAATGGATACCGGATTACGCTATCCGACATTTTTCATCTCTACACAATGAAGAAGGGGCGAACCCCGGGAACCTTCTTCCTTTGCCCGAGGAGTCATTTCAGGGTCTTCGGAGACTTTCCTGAAAAAGATGAGAAGTGGAGGAAATCGTATTTCTTCTTTCCTGTTGACGAGTTCACCTATGGTCCAAATGCAGGATTTTTTGTTCGGGACTGGACACGTCGTCCTGGTTAGATGGTTTTTAGGGATTTATTGCATATTTTCATTTCTTGACTTCGCTCCTCGGTGAAATAATCCTTTTTGTTTTGCAGTTAAACTTCCGAAGACACCGGTCTCCCATACCTTTGCAGAACAGTTCATCAGGATTTGCAATCAAAGTGACCTCGCGTGGGAACTCTTTACTTGTGAACAAATTCGGAACTCGTGCTTTCGTGTCCGCAGTCGCTCCGACCTTATTACCTCTTCTCCACCTCACACTTCTCCCATCATCGATAGAAACATGTCTCCAGTCTCCTACCGCGAAGAGAAGAGGCTCCAAAAAGAGAGGGAAAAGGTTAGGGAGGCAAGAGAAAAGGAAGATAAGGCTAGAATGGCGAAGGCCCTGGAAGAGGGAAAGTCAAGATCCGCAACTGGGAAAGGAAGGGCTTTCGGCTCTGTTATGCCGGCATCTGAATCGAAGACTTCTGATCGTCGAGATCAAGTGAAGGAGTCTGCTGGTAAAGAGATAGTCCAAGTTTTGGAATCCCGTTCCTCCCGATCATCTCGGGAAAAAGAGTATTCTGACGGAGGACCAACTGCAACTTCCTCGAGGAAACGCAAGAGCGAGGACTCAGATGTTCTTCCTCTACATCGCAAAAGTCGTTCTCACACGAATGTCGATGTGAATCCTTCCGAAGATGCCGGGACTACTAGCCAAGGAGCTAATGACACTTCTCAGGGGACTCCGCTGTCCGAACCTCCCGTTCAAGTCATGGTCTTGCCTTCGCGAGACTCAGAGAATCGGGAATCTGGTCATCAAGAAATCCCTATTCCAATAGGTAATCCTATATTGTTTTTCGATTCTTTTTGCAAAGTACGAATCATTCATATTGATTTCCTATAAAACTTTCAATTAGCCCCTCCGAAGTCTCCAGCTGATTTCATGAGGAACTTCACTCCGGCTGGGATGAGGATCCCGGCCTTCAGCGAGCTAAAAGAAGTCAACAGGGCGAATTACTTTCGCTTCGCCGACAAACTTGGAGAGGTACCTCCTTTAATTCTTACTTGAGCTCGTTTCGCTTGAACTAACGATTTCTTTTCATTCTAATAGATTATGCTCGAATACAACACCACCTTTTCTTGTCACGAGAGCCAGCTCTTCCCCGTGAACGAGCTTGACAGCCTTAGGACTCGAGTTGCTGAACTCGAAGAGGAGATCCGTCAAATGAAAGAGATGGAGGAAGGGAATGCTAAAGCTGTGGCGAAGGCCAACGATATCCGGGAACAGATGTTGAGTGCCGAAGCTCGCTGTAACCATCTTGATGTAGTTAACACGGATCTGTCGGTGAAACTAAAGACCGGAAAGAACATGTACCTTGAGGCATGTGACAAGATAACTTCGTTGGAGGCCGAAATCAAGCGAAGTTAGGAATGGTGCAAGGTTTCTGCGGAAAAACGGGACGAGGAGCTCGCAGCAGCAAGGAAGGATGAGCGAAAGAAACTCCGAGAACACTACAGTGGCTTGATCTCAAAGCATGAGATCTACCTGAAAGCCCTGAGTGAGAATGAGTCAATAAGCAACCGAGCTGCGGAGACTAGAGCAAATCGGGAGCTTCTTGAGGAGCTTAAGAGAGGCGAAATCCCGGATATTGATGCCGAGCTGGAGTCTGTGAAGAAGGATGAAGCGGATGCGGAGGCCAAAGTTAACAAGATAAACGCTCTCAAGCCTCGTCCTGATGAGTTTGCTCATCTCTTTGTTGCCACTCCTCCCAAGTCGGCACCTGAAGGTCCATATACCGAGGAGGAACTTGTAATCAATGAGTTCGGTTCCAAAAAAAGTCTCATGTCCGAGCTCAAAACAGTCCAGGGGTCGGAGGAAAAGCGACAGCAGGATCCCGAAGCCTAAAGATCCTTGATTTGATTTCCGGGGTTGTTATGGCTTAAATGGCCCCCCCTTTGTTTTTAATCAGAACCTTTTGCTTTTGCTTTCCGTATCTTTTGGATTTTAAAAACTTAAGCTATTTCCTTCCCAAAAATCTTTTTGCTAACGCAAGTCGGACAAGAAGTTCATAAAGGAAAACGAAATACATTTGAAGTATTTCCGGTTTTCAAGAAACATGACACGAGACTTGGACATCGAAGTTCGAATTGAACTGTGTTGAACCAGCTATTCTTTTAAGTAAATATACTTAGAAATTGTTTTAGAAGAAAAATCTCCATTTGTTTCTAGAGATAAAGATTCGTCTATTCGAGCACTGAGCTCGGATGAAAAGAATCTTAAATAGTACGAAAATAACCTTTTCGGTTTGCGAAGAGCGAATTACGAGATTACTCTCGGTTTTACGAGTTGCGAGATAGATCTCGGCTTTGAATATTTAGACTGTTTCAACAATGTAAATATTTTATTGATTTAGAGACTGCACTCGAGGTCCGAGCTGCCTACGTACCCAAAGGTGGGGATCAAGTCTGTCGTAGTTCGATTTACAATAGTGAAAATAATGTGATTAAATAAAGTATCTCTTCAAATGAATGGAATTCCAAGCTCTCCGAATTGCTTTTCCTTTCATGTTCTCGAGACGATAAACTCCGTTGCGAACTACCTGAGTAATTCGATAAGGACCTTCCCAGTTAATACCTAGCTTTCCAGCTCCATCCTCGGTAGTATTTTGCTGAACTTTGCGCAGTACCAAGGTTCCAACGTCGAAGTGTCGACTTCGGACAGTCGAATTATAGTATCGAGCTGCAGCATTCTTGTAATTTTGCATTCGAATCAAAGCTCGATCACGCCGCTCCTCAATGGTATCAATAACGTCAACCATCAGTTCGCTATTTGCTGCCTCGTTCTGTGGGTTATTCATCATTCTCGGACTTGGCACAAATATTTCAGCAGGGATTACAGCCTCCATTCCATAAACTAATGAAAATGGTATTTCACCTGTTGCACGCCTAGGAGTAGTGCGAATTGCCCAGAGAACACTCTGTAGTTCATTAAACCAAGCTCCTTTGTGCGACTTGAGTTTTTTCTTCAAAGTAGACAAAACAGTTTTGTTCATTGCTTCAGCTTGACCATTACCCTGCGGGTAACGAGGCGTTGATCGACTGAGTCTGATTTGCCATTCTTCGCAAAAAGATTCGAATTGCCGCGAAATGAATTGAGGTCCGTTATCAGTAACGATCTCGTATGGCAAACCGTGCCTACAAATGATGTCCTGCCAAATGAACTTGCGAACTTGAACCTGAGTTATGTTTACGTAGGCTGCCGCTTCTACCCACTTCGAGAAATAATCGGTAAGAACTAGGACAAATTTCACCCCGCGCGTAGAAACATGAAGAGGCCCAATAATATCCATAGACCATTTCATAAATGGATAAGGAGAAGAGACTGATGATAATGGCTCGGTGGGTTGGTGAATTGAAGGTGCATGCTTCTGGCACTGCTCGCACTTCCGCGCATACTCCTCACAATCTGCGATTAATGTGGGCCAGAAATATCCGTACTTTCTTACTTTATAGGCCAAAGAGCGACCTCCGGAGTGATTTCCGCATACTCCGTCATGAATCTCTTTTATCACAGTACGGACCTGCTGTCCAAAAATACAGATCATGTCAGGACCCGAGATGCTTCTTCTGTAGAGGATGTCGCTCGAAATGCAGAAACGAGCACTTTTAGCTTTTAGTCTCCGTGCCTCCCACTTATCCGTAGGGAGAATACCATTAAGGATGTATTCTCTTATGGGTATCCTCCAGTCTGCCCCCCAATCCGGAAGCGGTAGCACTGGTTGCAGTGGTTCCGGATTTGGCGGTGTTCCGATTAGTGATTCTACTTCGGAGTTCCGCTCAGTTTCCTCGACCCTTTGTGGTTCCTGTTCCACATTCATCCTTCTTTGCATAGACCGTGTAGTCACGAAATTCAGCTCTCCGGTGGCTATGCTGGGATGTTCAATTACTTCAACAGGGATCATTCGGCTCACTGTTACTTCGGAACTCGACGCCAATGCCGCTAAAGCATCCGCCGCTGAGTTCTCACTTCGCGGAATTCTAGTGAGTTCGAAACTAAGAAACTTTTTACTCAATTCCTGAACCTGAGCGAGGTAAGCTTCCATTCTGCCATCTTTTGCTTCATAATCACCGGAAAATTGATTAGCAACGAGCTGTGAGTCGCAAAATGCCCGTAATTTTGTGACACCTATCCCAACCGCTAGACGAAGTCCTGCAAGGAGAGACTCGTACTCCGCCTCGTTATTCGACGCATTAAATGCGAGACGAAATGACTGTTCAATTACCTCACCATATGGGGATTGTAATCGGATACCGATCCCGGAACCCTGTTTTGAGGACGCGCCGTCCACATGAAGTATCCAAGGTCCTTCATTTTCTTTGACTTCCACAGAGACCAGAGGTAGTTCGATCAGAAAATCTGCGAGGACTTGAGATTTCAAGCTTGTCCTTGTTCGGAACTGAATATCATACTCGCTTAGCTCAATTGCCCATTTAACCAATCTTCATGACTGACTCGGACTATGCAAAATTGCCCTTAAAGGTTGCGTGGTTAGGATAATAACCGTATGAGATTGAAAATACGGTCTTAATTTCCGAGCCGAAGTAATTACTGCCAGAGCTAGCTTTTCCATCATCGGATATCTTGACTCTGCGCTGTCAGAAACCGATACGTACAAGAAAAGCTCTTCTCCGAACTCGGGTTTCGCTAACACAGGAGGTTTGGACAAATAATCTTTTAGATTTTTGAAAGCCTTTTCGCAATTCTCATCCCAGATGAAATTCTTGTTTGCTTTTCGGAGCAGATTATAGAATGGAAGGCACCTATCGGTTGACCTCGAGATGAATCGGTTCAAAGCTGCTATCCGCCCCGTGAGTCGCTGAACTTCCCGGATGTTGCGAGGCGAAGTCATCGCCAGAAAAGCGTTCAACTGTCGCGGATTAGCTTCGATTCCTCGCTCCGTGACAATGTAACCCAAAAACTCTCCCGAAGGAACTGCAAAAGTGCACTTGGTCGGGTTCAGTTTCATTCCGAACTTATTCAAAATTGCGAAGCACTGCTCTAGATGCTCAATATGCGAAGTGCTTGATATTGACTTTACCAACATATCGTCAATATACACTTCCATCATTTTACCGAGGAGATCTTTGAACATCATATTCACCAACCGTTGATAAGTGGCTCCGGCATTTTTCAACCCGAACGGCATGACTATATAACAGTAAGTTCCACGGTCCGTGATGAAAGCTGTCTTTTCCTGGTCTTCCGGATTCATCAAAATCTGATTATACCCGGAAAAAGCATCCATAAAGGACATCATTTCGTGGCCCGTAGTTGACTCCACAAGTCGGTCGAAGTGGGAAACTATCTTTGGGACAGGCTTTATTAAGATCGATAAAATCTACGCAAACCCGCCATTTCCCATTTTTCTTCTTGACTACAACAGGGTTTGCCAACCAGTCTGGATATTTGACCTCGCGAATCACACCGGCATCGAGCAGGCGCTGAACTTCGGCATTTACAGCCTCGGCTCGGTCTGGACCAAGTTTCCTGCGTTTTTGTTTTACTGGTTTGAAAGTCGGGTCAATGTTGAGCTCGTGCGAAATGACCTTTGTATCGATCCCAGTCATCTCCTCGATTTTCCAGGCGAAAGTTTTTTGATTCCTTTTTAGGAAAGTTATCAGTTCGACTCGGAGTGTTTCGCTTAAACCCGCTCCTATTCTCACAGTTTGATCCGGATACTCCTCATTAACTACCACTGCCTCCACGAGGTCACTGCTTATTTTTTTGACGGGATTTGCAGGCACCTCGAACTGTGGTTGCTATTGAATTTTAAGCTTATGACTGGACATGTAACACATCCTCGCAGCTCGCCGACTTCCCAGGATTTACTTTACTCCGGATTTCGTAGGGAATTTCAAGCATTGATGATACGTTGAAGGTACTGCTTTCATCTCATAAATCCAGGGTGTTCCCAAGATAACATTATAAGCAGCCGGATGATCGAACACCGTGAACTCGATCATTTTGACTATGCCTTCTGCGCATACCGGGAGCACAATCGTTCCTAATGACATTGAAGTTTCGCTAGTAAAGGAAACCAAAGGAGATGGTGGCCCCCTTATATCTTGCTTCGATATCCCCATTCTAGTCAGAGTATCGAGGAAAATTAAATCCACCGAACTCCCAGTATCAATGAGAACCCGAGACACTTCGCAATGCGCAATATCGAGTGTTATGACCAGAGCATCGTCGTGTGATTTGTCAAGTTGACTTGTTTCTCTTTCGGAGAATGTTACTTCGGGTAATTGTTCCTCAGTAAGTCTGGCCTTCTTGATTATCGGGGTGGTTGCCCTCCGTTCGTGTTGCTTGATTGCACTAATGGAGTCTCGAAATAGCTTGGATCCCCCCATAATCACCTGGATTTGCTTCTTCGGTCCTTTAAGAACATCAGGGGACTGGATCCTTTTGGTTTTTTTGATAGGAGGAGACGGTTCCTCTGTTGCTAATGTTTGCTCTGACAGATGAGTCGGCTCGAGCTCCGAAATATCGATTTCGGTTATTTCCCCGGATGCGAACTTGGCAGCCAGTAACCTTCCTAGAGCCTTGCAATCTTTCGTAGCATGCCCATTGACTTTGTGGATCTCGCAGTAGGCGTTTGGGTCACGAATCCACTTGTTACTCGGGAAAGCGCCGTTTTTGCTCTTTGGCGAGAAAGACTGCTTCGCAGGTGAATTCTTCGGAGAACCTTTTGGCTCCTCCCGATCCACTGAGAATGTGCCAGCTCCAGGTTTCCGAGCTTCAGGTTGAACAGGTTTCTTCTGAGGTAGAAGTTGAGCAGGTTTCGGAGCTGCTTTGAACTTTTTTGCTAGAGCGGCCCGCTCTTCTTCCGCGTTTATCCAGTTCGTTGCCCGATGGAGGGCATCTTGAATAGTGGCTGGTCGGTTAACAACCAACTCTTCTCAGAAACGGGATTCGTGCCATAGACCGTTCTTGAGTGCAGCAATTGCTGCAGAATCAGACAAATTTGGGATCTGGACCATAATCTCTTTAAAGGAGGTGATGTAAGTCCGGAGCGGCTCTCCGGCTCCCTGTGAGAGGTTCCACAGCTGGGCATCAGTTACATCGCTCTTGATGAAGTATCCGTACTGCATGATGAAAGCAGTGGATAGTTGCTTGAAGCTATCGATCGATCCTTCTTCTAGTTGAGTAAACCAGGTCAAAGCCGGCCCGGATAGGTTCTCGGCGAAGAGTTTGCATAAGCCCGCGTCTACTTCGTTTGGCTCCAAATGTACCCGACCTGCGGTTACCTGAAAAGACGCTAAAAATTCTTTGGAATCTCTCTTACCATCGTACCCCGGAAGTTTGGCCTTCCTTTGGTCTCGAATTCGCAGGGCTACAATTCGTGGAGTAAAAGGAGTCCTTCTCGTCTCCTCGATCACTCTATCGACTTCGGGAGCCGAACTGGTGGCTTGATGAACCCTCGAACTCATTTCCCGAATCTGATTTTGTAAGCTCTGGATTTCCGGGTTGACCGGAAGGTGAGGTGGATGGGACTCGGTTTGAGGATGATGCGGGGTGCTGCCATGTTGAATGGGGAGAGGTGTTCTGGCTGGAACAAAAGGACCGCCGGCTGAATTTTGAGGTGCTTGAGCATGACGGGATCCATCTCCAGGTTCACTCTGAGAGCCAAGAGGCAAAGAAGATGGGAGTACGTTGTTCGGGGAAACGAGCCTAGGATCCTGAACCTCCGAAACGTTCGGACCATGAAAGTCCAAATGGCCGCGAGGTCCGCTGGTCCGCAAAGTTCCTGCAAGAATTGTATCAACCCGATCCGCATAAGCATTATGGGCTGACCTGATTTCGGAACAACTCGCTGTGAGGACTGCGATTTGGCTGCCGCTTTGCTCTTCAAACGCTGAAAGCTTCTCAGATAACGCAGTGGTGGCGAGCTGCTGCTGGTCGGTCTTCTCGGACAGATCTTTAAGCAACTTCTTGATCTCGTCGAGGACTGAAGCCGGATCCGCTATGTCTGACATCTTTTCGATTGATATTCTGGAGTAAAAGACTAGAAAACCCCTCCTTCTAGCTCCAAATTGTGGATGTCGGAATCCGCAATATAAATTTTAAGATGTGTATCGGGTCGTCTAGCCTTGCTAATTCGAATAGCAATCGTCAAAAAGAAAACAAAAGAGTGAAGTATGTGTATCCGTTTATTGCTCAAGAAATTCGGTCCCCCTTACAATGATCTACAACCCCTATTTATAATTACATCGTCGAATTCCGTTCCCACCAATCTAGCCGCGAATCACGCCCTTATTATTATTTCCGTTTCGAATCTTCTCCAATCTGTGAATTCCGTATGACCCGCACTTTATTTACTTCGCAGATTCCGACGTTACATTCGAGCTGGATTTGAAATTAAGTGGGCTTTTCATCTCATCATATGGGCTAGCTTGACGGCCCACTTCGTTTCCTGAATCCTAAACTTTCCGGGCCGGATCCGAATTACGGGATCCGACACCAACATATAGGAACTTGAATAATTTAGGTGTTTATGCATTTCAACGTGTATCGAATTTTGTGGGTAAGTGTAATGGATTTGCTCATTCTATTAGACGTTGGATTGTGTTTTATTAGGAAGCGAATATGGGTGGTCACGGACAAATGAATTCGAAATTTGACGATGGAATTGCAAATGTGGATGCCATTGATTTTTCTAATGCAAGACATAAGAATCTAAGGAGGTCTTTTCTCTTTTTTCTTGACAAGAAGTTTCAACAGCCATTTCCACTTCCAATTCTTATCGATAATATTCAATTTCAACTGAAAACGAAGAACTCATGGCTAATCATATGCTGACAGTTTAAGAGTATGTTATCTTTCATGTTAGGTGATGTGTGAATGTTTTGGCGGACCTGATGGAATTTGTTAGGAACAATGAAGCGGAACTGATAGAATCAACCTGGATGCTGAGGAGATCTGCGAGACAATTCAGTAAGCTCTTTTTGCTCTTTGTCACTTTCAGAGTGATCTCTCCCACAGAAGCTGCCGTGTTCTTCACGTTCTCCTTTACAAGGTCCTCCTCGTCTCCTCTGCCTCTAGCTGGCAATGCCACGGCGTCTTCATATCATGTGGATCCACCACGACCCTTTGGGTTTGACAGTATAAAGAGTAATGGCACACACTCCCCTCCTGGAAGCTGGACTGTCACAGCAGCACAATCGATTCCATCTTCTTCCTTGAAATTGACGCTTCCGTCTAAATCAACCTGCTAAAAAAAAATTAAAGAGACGATCAATCACAAACCCTAACCCTAAGCAGACTGTTTCTTTCGGTAGAATCAAAGATGCGAAATCAAACCTCAAAGGGTCCTTCGATCTCGACAAGGGTGTAGGTGAGACGGGTCATGAGCTTGGTGTTCTGGAACTCAGGAGTAGCGTTCTTGCTTACACTGTCTGCCTTGACGGTGAAGGAAGCAGAACTTCTTGCCTGTGTACTTTCCTGGCTTGAACGAGAACGTCCCAGAGCAACCGTCAATACCTGGGCACGTGTTAGCCGTTCCAGTTCCTTTCACTTCCATGTATGTCTTGCTCTGAGCCTCTGAATCTCATCGTAGGTAGTCTCTTTCGAGCTCCCTCTGCACTTTCTCCCTTTCATTATACGAGAAAGAAACAACTTTAAGTCAACTGATCCAATAAGATTGAATCAACGATTACAAGAACTGGAATAGCGGTTTCGCATTGTATAGTGCTAATCCGTATCTTTTATTGGTTTGGTTGTTCTGTTCTGTTTTCAGTTTAATATAAAACTCAAAAAAAAAACTCATGTGACGACTCGATACATATTAAAAAAAACTCTTGTTCTCTGTTTATGGATTAATCTACAGTTCGTAATGATTAATCCAGACGGGTCATGAGCTTGGTGTTCTAGAACTCAGGAGGAGCGCTCTTGCTTGCACGCATGTTTTATATGGATATAGGTTTATATGAGGGATCTCAACTCTTTGAAGATGAAAATGACCAGAAATTTCTATGTTGTTATTGCAGGTTACATGGCAGTGTACACCACAAGGAAAATACAACAAACGGTCAGTTTGCATTTACAACCCAAGAATCAGGAACTTACTTGGCGTGTTTTGAGGCCGATGCCAAAAATCATGGTAACAAAGATTTTAGCCAAAGATTGGGACTCCATTGCTAGAAAAGAGAAGATCGAGGTCAGCTCTCCATTTCCATAATGCTCGCTAAAGTACTAGAAACAACACTTTTCTCTACTTTCTTTCTCTTGATGCTCTCTTTGGAACAGTTAGTGTAAGACTGAATTTGGTTCCTTTAAACAACCTGACAGAGTCAAAATGAATGGTTGCTGATAGCAGATGTTACTCAATCATGTTGGCTACTCTCCTAAGATCAGCCACAGAGAGCTGGTAGAAATGGCAAAGCACCGGAAGGAATTGGAGAAGATGGCAAAACCCGTTCTTGATACTCTAAGAAGCTACCAGGACTTGCCTCCGGTAATCTTCTTACTTTTTTTTCATTGAATCGAAAAACCTGATAACATCTCTGGTTCTCCAAGTCTTAATTAAACTGTGATTGTTCAGCATTATCAGTCTCCACTTTATTATTGGTTATTGCTAGTGTCACTTCACAGTGTATATATATATCATTTCCTTTGGTCTCTTTTTTTTAATTTGACTTATTTGTTTCTGATTTAATTGGTTTTGTCTTTACAGTTTCATGTTAATGACCAAGCTGCAATTGAGATGGTTAAAGGTCGACGAAGCAATATTCAGAAGAAATTGTAGTTTTTAATTTTTGTTTTTGTTTTACGCCAAATTAGTGTGTAAACTTTTTTTATATAAGAGTTTTTGTATATTATTTTATGTAATAATGATAATAAATATTGTATTTTATTTTTGATATGTTATTTTAATCCAAAAATTCCAGTAAATGTGATTTAAATATAATTAAAATAATTAACAAAAATACAAATATTATAAAAATAAAAATTACTGAAATAATTAATCAAATATAAATATTGCAGAAAAAACAAATTATAAAAATAGATACAATCTAATCATAACAATTATTATACGTTATTATAAATATTAATAATAGCAGCGTCATAAACGCTATCGTTGTATACTAAACTATTGCACAACGCAAAACCGCTATCAAAAGTGTCCGAGTTTCTATAACGGACGATGTCAGAGCGCTTAAGGAAACGCTATGGTAGATGAATAATTGCGTTTTTCGGCCGCTATTAATACCCACATTTCCTGTAGTGCCTATTTATGGACTCAAACAAGCTCCACGGGCTTGGTATATGGCGTTGAAGCAACATCTTCTCTCCACTGGTTTTACGAACTCCATGGCTGACACCTCTCTCTTCATTCACAGCTTGGGTGGCTACATTACATATGTCTTGGTCTATGTCGACGATATCCTCGTCACGGGAAAACAATCCCAGCATCCTTGAAAGAGTTCTCTCCTCGTTTGTAAATCGGTTCTCCATCAAAGATCCATCGGATCTTCATTATTTCCTAGGCATCGAAATGTCACGCTCTTCCAAAGGTCTTCACTTAATGCAAAGGAAATATATCACTGACCTCCTTACTCGCCACAACATGCTTGATGTAAAACCGGTACATACACCTATGGCAACAACTCCGCAGCTCACACTAACCGGTGGGGATCCACTTCCTGATGCAATTCAATTCCGTTCAATAGTAGGCAGCCTCCAATACCTTGCTTTTACCAGGCCGGATATCTCCTTCGCGGTGAACAAGTTATCACAATTTGTCCATAAACCAACGACAGAACATAACCACGCTGCCAAGCGCGTCTTGCGGTATCTCGCCGGCACACTCACACATGGCATCTACCTTCATGCGTCCTCACCAATTACATTACACGCTTATTGGATGCTGATTGGGCTGGCGACAACAATGATTATCTCTCTACTAACGGATATTTAATCTACCTAGGACGCAATCCAATATCTTGGTCCTCAAGGAAACAAAGAGGTGTTGCCCGCTCATCCACTGAAGCGGAGTATCGGGCTGTAGCGAACACGGCCTCCGAGGTACGATGGTTATGTTCTTTATTTTCTGAGCTCCGCATACCCTTACCGACATCACCTGTCATCTATTGTAATAACATTGGGGCAACATATCTTCGTGCGAATCCGGTATTTCACTCACGTATGAAGCACATTGCACTAGACTATCATTTTTTCCGCAATCAGATTCAAGAAGGAATGCTGCGAGTTTCACATGTCACCACGGATGATCAGTTAGCCGATACTCTAACCAAACCTCTACCCAGGACACGATTTCAACATGCATGTATCAAGATTGGTGTTACTAAAGTACCTCCATCTTGAGGGGGTGTATAAGAGTATATGCTAACAATAAGGAAAGGATCTAAATGTAATTACTTAAGACCTAATTAGTCTCACGAGTCTGTATATATACTGATGTAATTCTTCTCATATGAATAAGATCATTCTCTACACTTATAATCTTGAAGTATCCCTTTTACTAACTCCTCCCATACTTGTCTTGTATACGGGCATTGAAAGAAGAGGTGGTCTCTTGTCTCAACCGATTCCTGACAAAACGCACAAGATGTATTCACTTGGTTCTTCCACTTCGCCATTCGTTCACCTGTAGATCATTTGTCATGCATTGCAAGCCATGTAATAAAAGCGTACTTAGGCGTAGCTTCAGAAAACCACACTCCCTTAGCACAGCTGCAGATTGGATGCTCATCTCTCAAGAGATTCCAAGTCTCGTTGGATGAGAATTTGGATTTGAAACCATTCTTCCATCTCCTCTTGTTAACGTACATCTAACTCTGTTTTCCGACTCAGCCGCAAGGCTTCTATTTCTGCTTCAACCTTATTTAGACTCTCCACTCGATGTCATCTTCCTCTATGCTTACTTAAAACGGCTTCCACGGTGGCTGTTTTTCTTTTCTCCAAAGATATCTGTCATACCAAAATGATGTGCCACGGCCACTATTTATTTCTACCATATGACCAAATTGCAAAGGAGTTAAGGTTGTATTGAACCCAGTCTGATTGAAGTATCATATTCCCACACATACTTTGATTTTACCCTCAACTTTCCTAAAAACATATTAAAAACTCTTAACTTTTTTGTGGGTTTTTAAACCCTCACCTTTTGAGTTTTGATGAATGAAAAATAAACGCTAATATTAATAAACTCAACTTAAATTCAAACAAATATTTTATAAAATAATTTTTAAATTTATGATTTATATTTTTTTTGTCAACCACACATTAATTAAAAAATAACTCTTTGACTGGTTGCCCAAGAGGATAAGAGTTTACAAAAGTAACATCAGAAAATAAAAGTCTAGAAGAACAGGCTAAGCAGTCCGCTTGAACATTACATAAACGAGAAATAAGAGAAAGCGAGAAGAAGGGAAAAGAGACTCGTAGTAATTTAAAATCATCTAGCAGATTGGAGAAAACGGGCCAATCTTCAGGTGACTGAATTTATGATTTATGTTAAATTCTTGTTTGCGATTTTTTTTTCTTTCTAAAATTAAGTTTTTGCGATAGAAATTTTATTCAACATTTAGTTGAAATTAGGCAAATCAGTTTCGTTACCATTAAAAGTTGTGATATATAAACTATAAAATTTTAGGATAACAAATTCAATGTTTTTGGTTTAATGGTTCGTGTTTCTCAAGTCTTGATTTAAGAAATGGTCAAAATTATAACAAAATTCAGATTCAATTGGATTTGGTTTAAGTTTGGATGAAAATTTAGTTAAATAATGATTAATTATATGTAATTCATATGTAAATTTAATATATGTTAATTTTATATATGAAAATATTAACTGAAATATTTTGATGTGAAAATTTATGTACTTTTTGTAGTATTATAAAATTTGGTTTGGTTTCACACTTGCAAAATATGGCTAGTTTGAAGATTTTTTATTGCGGACAAGGTAAGGTATGAAAGTCAGTTGTTGCAAATAAAATGACCAATTAAATTTCTGAAAGGAAATATCAAGAAATTTCAGACTAAAATTTAGATGGAGAGAGAGAGAGAGAGCTAGCAAATTTAGGAATGTGAAACAAAGTCAACTGTTAATGAGGGCTATTTCCTCTTTAACAAGACCAATTGGGAATAACTCTTACTTAGTCTAAGCTATATTTTAAATTTTATGAGCAATTGTGCTCTGTTTTGAGCTGTCATGCTCTGTTTTCTGATTTTGAATCTTTCCTTTGATTTTTAATGTAGTTTAAACGGCAAAAAAAAAAAAAAAAAAAAATTATTACTTCCTCCAGCGAAAGAGGGCTGTTTCAAAGCCTCCAGCGAAACACTATGGAAAATCTCCAAACGTTACTTCCTTTGTCAACTCTTGATTTTGCGTATCAATCGGATATTTGGAGTTTTTTAATCTTTGTAATAAGGTGAAATAATTGGTGGGTTGCATGCATTTTCAGATTTTCTTATTCAAATAAATTTCTCAGAGGAAATATCAAGGAACTTCGTTTCAGATAAATTATAAAGATATTGTGTGTCACGTTCTAAGCCTATATACATTCAAATTTTAATTCTTACCCCTACATAACTCTGTTATTAGATCTGAAAATTCTTCTATCGATCAATAGTAATGGCTTTTTCTTCTTCTTCTTCTTCTGCTCTTTCGATTCCTTTATCTTCTTCGTCTCAAAACTGGGAGTACGATGTCTTTCCGAGCTTCCACGGGAAAGATGTACGCAAAACCTTTCTCAGCCACCAACTGAAGGAGTTCGGAAGAAAAGCAATCAACTTTTTTGTTGATAACGAGATCAAGAGAGGAGAATTCATCGGTCCTGAACTCAAACGGGCAATCAAAGGATCTAAGATTGCTGTTGTCTTGCTCTCCAAGAATTACGCTTCTTCTTCGTGGTGTCTTGACGAATTGGTGGAGATCATGAAGAAAGAGTCGGGTCAAACGGTGATTACCATTTTCTATGAAGTAGATCCAACTGATGTGAAGAAGCAGAAGGGAGACTTTGGGAAGGTCTTCAAAAAAACTTGCAAAGGTAAAGGCAAGGAGAAGGTTCAGACATGGAAGAAAGCTTTGGAGGGTGTGGCCACAATCGCGGGTTACCATTCAAGCAACTGGTTCGTTTTCTTGATTTAAATTCACTTGCTTTTAATATTTCTAACACATCAAACTATATTTGTAGCATTCATAGTGATTATTTATTAACAAGATGTATGTATAAAGTGATCTTCCTCTTTGTTAGGGTTGATGAATCAACCATGATTGAAAACATCGCTGCTGAAATTTCGAACAAGCTCAATCATTTGACGCCGTCACGTGATTTTGACCATTTAATTGGGATGGGAGCTCATATGAAAAAGATGGAACAGTATTTACGTCTAGATTTGGATGAAGTGAGGATGATTGGGATTTGGGGTCCGCCAGGGATTGGAAAGACCACCATAGCCAGGTTTATGTTTAACCAACTCTCCAACAATTTCCAAAATAGCGCATTCATGGTGAATATCAAGGGAAGCTATCCAAGACCTTGTCTTGATGAGTACACTGCACAATTTCAACTACAGAAAGAAATGTTGTGTGAGATGTTCAATCAGAAAGATATCATGATTTCTCATTTAGGAGTCGTACAAGGACGGTTGGGAGACAGGAAAGTGATTCTTGTTCTTGATGATGTGGATCGGTTAGCACAACTAAATGCCTTGGCCAAAAATGTTCATTGGTTTGGTCGTGGAAGTCGGATTATCATCACAACAGAAGATCTAAGACTTTTGAAGGCACATGGGATCGACCATATATACAAGGTGAATTTTCCATCAAATGATGAGTCTCTTCAAATGTTCTGCATGTATGCTTTTGATCAAAAGTCCCCTAAAGATGGTTTCGATGGACTTGCTCGTGAAATTACATACCTTGTCGGTGAACTTCCTTTAGGACTGAAGGTTATGGGATCCTACTTTCGAGGATTATCCAAGGAGCGGTGGTCAATGGAAGTATCAAGGTTAAGGACTAACCTTAATGGAGAAATTGAGAGCATTTTGAAGTTCAGTTATGATGCTTTATGTGATGAAGATAAAGATTTATTCCTTCATATAGCTTGCTTTTTCAATGGGGAAAAAATGAGGAGAGTGAAAGAATTTCTTGCTGAAAAATTCAAGGATTTGAGTCAAAGGCTTGACGTTTTAGTTGAGAAATCTCTCATATCTATTGAATATAATCAATATGATTATCAACGCAAACATGATTCGTATGTAACGATGCATAAATTGTTGGGCCAACTAGGTAGAAAAATCGCCAGTAACTCTGATCTTGAGCCTAGGCAACGCCAGTTTTTGATTGAAACTGATATTTCTGCTTTACTCCCTGGTTATACAGCGGTAAGTTTTGCATTATTCTTTTTGTACTTGTATTTGAGTTTATTTATCATCTCTACTTATATTTGGATCTTTTTTCTTTCAGATTACTAGAAGTTTTATTGGCATAGAATCCAAGTATGGGTTAAATATAACTGGGGAAATCTTTGAAGGAATGTCTAATCTCCAGTTCTTAAGAATCAGCAATGATCATGGTCATCGAAACATTATATCTTCTCAGAGATGTTTGACCTTTATATCTCCAAATCTACGATTACTATATTGGTCTTTTTGTCCAATGACATGTTTGAGTTTTACAAATGACCTAGAGTTCCTTGTTGAATTAAAAATGTTTTGCAGCACGCTTGAGAAGCTCTGGGACGGAACTAAAGTAAGTCATTTAAATATCTTTCTTGTAAAAATTTAATTTTTAAGTCTTATTTTGAATATATAATATCCTTTCTGGTACTAGAAATTCACTTGAAACATTGTATTTAACTTGCCATTCCGTTTTTTTAGCACGAAGGTGTTTTTAACATTGTATTTTTGTGTACAGCTGCTTCGAAATCTCAAGCGGATAGATTTGTCATCGTCTCGTTACCTGAAGGAGCTTCCTAATCTCTCAATGGCCACTAATCTCACATCCTTAGATGTTCGTGGATGTTCAAGTCTAGTGGAGCTCCCTTCCTCTATTGGGAATGCAACTAATCTCGAAGGTTTATTTCTCAATGGATGTTCAAGTTTGGTGGAACTTCATTGCTGCCCCATTCCTTTTGCAGGGAGCTTAGATCTCAGTGGATGTTCAAGTCTAGTGGAACTACCTTCCTTTAGCCATTTAACTAATCTCCAAAAATTATCACTTAAAGGATGCTCAAGGCTTGTATCACTCCCAAAGCTTCCAGATTCCCTAATGGTCCTAGATGCAGAAAATTGTGAGTCCCTAGAGAAAATAGATTGCTCTTTTTGCAATCCAGGTTTGCGTCTGAACTTCAATAACTGCTTCAAATTGAATAAAGAAGCAAGAGATCTCATCATCCAGAGATCAACTCTTGAATTTGCGGCCTTACCCGGTAAAGAAGTGCCTGCGTGCTTCACTTACAGAGCTTATGGGAGTTCCATAGCAGTGAAGTTGAATCAAAAGCCTCTTTGTACACCCACAAAATTTAAGGCTTGCATCTTGGTTGTTAACAAGGCCGAACATGAGGTTGGTTTTAAGGAAAGCGGGAGGGTGTCTTGTCGAATCAACTCCAAACAGAAACAATCAACTGATCGATATTTATTTCTAACGGAGCATCTATACATTTTCAACGTTAAAGCAGAGGAGGTGACTTCCACCGAGCTTTTTTTTGAGTTCGAGCTCTGCGTTTTCAATAAAACCTGGGGGATAAAAGAATGCGGGTTACTCCAAACTCTTGGAGCATCATGTTGATGAAGATTATGAGAGCTTGAGAGGTGGCAATAAAGAGATATGTAAAAGGATCGTCAGCTTGAGAGCTGAATACGAACGTCGTCGGTTTTGATAAAATATTGAGCGCTTCAAATACCACCAAAGAAAACATGGTCAGCTTTGTTGATAAACTTTGCATAACAACTGTTTAATAAAATGTCAAAATGAGCTTTATAAGGTTAAAATGGCAATTGAGTTGTATATATCTAGAACTGCAAACTCCTAATGAATTTTCAATTCAATCGATACAACATGGTTCTTATGGTGATTTTTCAATTTGTGTTATGTTTCTGTCTTCTCATTTCATTGTGATACTGACGCAGTCGGAAAACCCTAGGTTAAGCAAGCGCTAAACCTAGATTGAAATCAAGTTCGCTAGCGACGAACTTAATGATAAAACTCTGGAATCCACCAGAAAAGGGTCTGGAATCCACCAGGAAAAGAGAAAGCTCTCTGTTCTTATTAATTAGAATAAAAAACGTGTCCTGTAAATAACCTAGGATCTCTATATATATAGAGAATAAAACCAAAACATATAATAGAAAATCCTAAACAAAATAGAAAACGTGAAATAAGTAAATATTAAAAGAAAAGGTAAATTCCCTAAATTTCTCCTACATCAGATACAAATAAAATACTTTTGAGCCCTGTGAATACATATTCTCTAACCTTTATCTACTTTCATTTGCTTACCTGGTTTTTGGATGAGAAAGACAAAGAGATTCATAGTTCATCGGGCCTGCCATAACTGGTGAGGCTAGCACAGACTCTTCTCTAGTATATAAGCTATGTGAATCATGATGGGTTGCTTCTCTTTTAGTATTTTTAGAGACCAGAATTTTGTGATAGAACGGCTTGAGGTTTATTAGATACAGAAGATGATATTTATACAAGCGTGAGAGAGAACCTTAGGTATCTCAATGCACATATAAGGAAATACATAACCCATAGAATATTTAAATCACTACTCCATAATACTCCCCCTCAAGTTGGCGCATATAGATCGCAAATGCCCAACTTGCCACGAAGATACTCGAATGCTTGTGTACCAAGAGCTTTTGTGAAAATGTCTGCAAGCTGTTCTCCAGTGGGGATATAGGCCGTCTTAAGTAGTCCGCTTCTAATCTCGTCGCGTATGTAGTGATAATCACGCTCTATGTGTTTGGTGCGCTCGTGAAATACCGGGTTGGCAGCTATATGGAGAGACGCTTTGTTATCGCAAAACAGTTTCATAGGTCCATCCAACGAGACACCAAAATCTGACAGAAGGCTACTAATCCATTTGAGCTCGGACGAAGTAATTAAAAGACATGGCCATGTACTCCGATTCCGCAGAAGCTTTCGAAACCACCCCTTGTTTCTTGGTCTTCCAAGCGATAGGAGATCCACGTAACAAAACTGCTAAACCCGTAAGGGATCGTCGAGACATTGGACATGTGAAAAAATCCGAGTCATAATACCCTGTAATGTCCAAAACACTGTCAGCCGTGAGTAAAATTCCTTTTCCCGGACTGCTTTTTAGGTACCGAACAAAATGCAACGCCACCCACCAATGTTTAACCCGCGGCTGATGTAAAAAGAAGGCCAACACATGTAACATGTATGTAAGATCCGAACGAGTGATGGTCAAATATACCAATCCTCTAACCAATCGTCGATATTTATCCGGTTCATCATAAAAATCACTCGTATCCTTCTCTAGTTTATGATTTGGAATCATTGGTGAACACACGGGTTTTCCTCCCAATAATCCACACTCATCTATAATGTCCAGCGCATATTTTCGTTGTGATAAATAGATACCTTTAGGTGATCTTGCCACTTCAATACCCAAAAATACTTGACAGCGTGCGCCTAAACCTTTCATATGAAAGCATTGATTCAAAATCCTTTGAAACGTATGACTTCTGCTTCATCATTACCACCAATGAGCAAATCATCAACGTAAGCTATCACATAAAGACACATCTTCCCCCGAGTCAAAGCAAACAGAGAGTAGTCCGAATAAGATTGAACAAAACCATACCCGAGCAATGTAGTCGTAAGCTTCGAGAACCAACACCTCGGTGCTTGTTTTAAACCATACAAAGACTTTCTCAATTTACAAACCATATACACATCCTCTTCTAAATTTCCATGTAAAAAGGCGTTATGGACGTCCATTTGATAAACAATCGAATTCTTCGCTGCTGCCACCTTAAGAAACATACGTACAGTAGTCAATTTCACAATCGGAGCAGAAGTCTCTTTATAGTCTTGTCCCTCCTTTTGACGATTACCCATCACTACCAAGCTAGCTTTATGTCGTTCAATCGTACCATCCGAATTATATTTAATTTTGAACACGAAACGACAGCCAATAGCTTTTTTCCTTCCGCAAATCTACTATATCCCACGTATGTTGATCTTCCAAAGCATCAACTTCAAATGTTACTACATCACGCCATACTTGGAGTTTCATGGCCTCATTATGTGCTGAAAAACGCTGCATGATGTGCTGAAAGACATTCACAATTAACATAGTGGGCTATAGGATAAGTGACCGTACCTTTAGTCGAAGATGTGTGAGATGTGGTCGAGTGTGGTGGGTCTTGATTGTTTTTCTTAGATGAAATTGCAGGCACCACATAATCTTTCAAGCGTGTGGACTGAATTTTTTTTAGATGTCTGCGACCCAACTGTTCTTGTTCTACTTGTGGGTGTGCTTCTTTAGCCACTTGTGACGGCTGTTGTTCTAATTGTTCTCTATTTTCTTCTACACTCCCCCAGGCGTCAACAATCTCATGATGAGGTGTTGAGATATCTCGATTTTCCAAAAAATCATCATCGTCATCACAGACTACCGGAGTTGGTTGCAACACTACTTCGTCAATCTCTTTAGACATGGACGTTGCAAATGGAATCAACGACTCATGAAATTTCACATCGCGAGAAACAAAGAACTCATGCGTCTCCAAATCATACATCGTCCATCCTTTTTTCCATAGGGATAGCCCATAAACACACATTTTCGACTCTTCTCCCCAAATCTATCGTTGTCCCTAGAGATCTTGCCAGCATACCCCAAGCACCCCAATACTTTCAAAATATCAAATGAAGGAGCCTTTCCATATAGAAGTTAATAGGGAGTTTTTCCTTGTAGTAACGGTGTCGGAGTCCGATTGATCAAATGACAAGCAGTGAGAACACACTCTCCCCAAACCTTCACCGGCGGATGCTTGAAAAATAGACGGAGTTCTATATGCTCCCCAAACATCACCAATGAACCAAATCAAAAATACCATCCTCTTTATTATAACTTTTAGAAAAAGAATCTCGAGTTTGCTTAGCTCTATAACAAATATCGCAACCACCGTCTGTTTCAACGGTTTTACCAACAACAAAAACACTAGATAAAGTAGATAAAACTCGTTCAGATGGATGCCCTAATCGTCTATGCCACAAAACACGAGGATCACTGCTCGTTGCTTTGTTGGCTTGACCACCGCAGATTCCTCTGAACTTGTAGACCCCATCACACTCTTCACTCTTCACCCGCACCAATCACCATCTTCGAAGTACGGTCTTGCAAAACACACAAATCTTCAGTGAAGGTAATAAAGCTCTTTGACGTTTTAAGTAATTTTGCCACGGAGATTAGCGAACATGTCAAATCCAGAGAAAATAGAACTCCATTCAGCCATATGTCTCCACCAAGACACATTCTCCCCTGTTTCTCAGCGAGTGCGCGATCTCCATCAGGTAGGCGAATGGAACATGGTGGTATAGACTTAAAAATCTATATTCAAAGTCATATGGTGCAAAGCACCGGAATCAATGATCATATCCATCTTACCAGAGAGTTTCGAAGATGATTCCCCTGTTTTCAGGCGATTAAGAACACCCATCAAAGTAGTCCATTGATCATCATTCAACCAAGGAAGCAAAACTCGATCATATCCTCCTTCACGTCGTGGTGCTGTAGCCGAGTTCGCCATAAGCTTAGCTAGTGCGGAGTGGACAGAACCAGTGTCATCTTGATGCGTCTGAGCCACGTTGGCACGAGCAAAAGTCGAGCCGCCTCTCCCCCTTACGAATCTGCCTATCATTCCTCCGCCACGACCGTAACGACCTCGTCCTCCTCTGTTTCCGCCATCTCTTCCATCTCCAAAATTTCTTCCTCTTTCTCCCCACCAATCTGGATATCCCTTGATTTGGTAACAGTCAGAGAGCTCATGACCATATTTTCCACAGTAGGTACATGTGGTGTCCTTTTCACGATATTGAAAGCTCCATGTTTTGTTTCTTTCGCACAACCCACTTTCTATGTATTTTCTTCTCTGTTATGAGTGATACTTTGTTGTCTTTCGTCATATACCACTCGCTGATACACTTGTGACAGCTTCAATAACGGCTCCATGTTAGTCAAAGTGGAGCGAATCGCACTAAACCGTACGTCATCCAACCCCATCAAAAACTGATGCGTACGCTCTTCATCTCGATCCTGTTCAAGTTCTGCGACAAGTTTACCACATGAACAAGACCTCAACGGCTTGTAAACCGCCAACTCATCCCACATATTCTTAAGTCTCCCGTAATACATCATCACGCTCTCTCCGTTCTGCTTACAGTTAGCTAAATCAGCCTTCAATTCATGTACCCGTGGTCCGTCTCCAACCGAGAAGTGGAGCTTCAAGTCTTCCCATAAAACACTCGCATCGTCGACAAGCGTAATTGACGTCTTCAACACCAGATCAATTGTGTTCACGATCCATGCAACAAGCATGGAATTCACCACTTCCCATTGTTCAATCTCTTCTCTTTCACTTGGTTTCTTCAGAGTTCCATTGATGAAGCCAAGTTTTCTTTTGGTTCGTAAGGCGTTCCGCACATGCTTTGCCCACTCTTCATAATTCTCCCCCTTAAGCTGCACCATTGTGATCAGATTGCCTGGCCCCTCCGACACATGGAGATAGTACGGCGACATCATTACCATCTCCTGCGAGCTTCCTGCCTTGCTCGCTGATTTCTCTTTGATCTTCTTCTCATCATCAACCATCGTCTTCTTCTCTTTATATATGT